CGTTATAGCTTTTCTTCGTTCTACTCCCCTGCCACAGGTCCAGGGACTTTTCCATCTCTTATATGTTTTTACTAAAAAGATACATAAAATATAATCATACTTATTCGTGTTGCGCGTCGGCCTCGGCTACATCGGCATATTATTATGCTTGCGAGACCCGTTCTTTCATTTCTGTTTGCCTCCTTTAAAAATTTAATGATTTGTCACAGAACCGTTCCAGGCACGGTCTCTGCTTTGTTAACATGTCCTTTAGGCCGTTACGGTCTACTGTCATGTCCTTATGTCTTAGAAGCGATCTCATCCAGCGAATAATAATAATAATAATACGATGCACAAAAAACTTGTATTTGAAAATTGCTTCGCATGCCCTTCATCAGATATGTTGACCTTTTTGGGATATAGTAATTTGTTGCGCTAAAAATATTTTTGTAAAGAGTTTTCTGTTACAGAATATTTACTATTTTCAAGTTCAAATTCAAATTCAAAAATCATTTATTCACGTAGGTAACACAATGTACACTTGTGATTCGTCATTAAAGAAATAAATATTAATGCTTCTAATTTTACATTTACTGCCAGTTCTCAAATCAAGGGCGTAGAACGGAAGAGAAGAACTGGCAATAAACTCTCCGCCACTCTTTTTAATCGCCATGTTTTTTTTTTTTTTACACAACGTTTGTAAGGAGCTGCAACCATTACACCATGTTCCACATGACATTTTAAGTAATTAATAATAATAACATAAATAAAAACAAAGACTTGTCCCCTATCAGCAGGAGGCATGGTGAAATAGGAGCACGCACTTACATTCTCGTGGGAACAACACGCAAACACATAGTCGAAATAATTAACATCACCGCATACACGAATTCAAGTACGACCAGTCACCACAAGTAGCACCCGTTCACGAGTATGACGCATGGCCAGCCATCATTGTCAAAACCCTATAAAACTTTTTTGATCAAAGGCAGTTTAAAAGAGGTTAGAAATTGACACTATGCATTTCATATAATAAACAATTACAAAGATTTTTGAAAAACTGATTGCAAGTAAAGATTTTGATCCGCCAGGCTTGTCTCAAGAGGCTTAGTGACTACTGGGTACTTAGACACTCTTTTGTAACCCCTAAAAACACTGAATACTTTACCACCATTGTCTATAAGTGCCTCTATTGCTGAGCATTCAACAAGCCTTAATGTTGATTTTCATACAACGAGCAGGAGTTTTTCAATGGCAAAACTGTAGACGGCTTGCCCAACTTTAGTGACAACAGTCCTATACAGGCAGTCCTCGACTTACGTCGTTTCAAGTTTCCGTCGAACAATGTTTTGACACTATTCCTCAAGGATACGTCATTTGTTTCGATTTCCGGCATAGGAGAATTCACTTGTCTTGTGCAAATTTGGAGAATGCCATGAAAATTTTTGAAGAAAATGATCCTAATTTTGAGAGAAGTTTCAACGTTAATAACAAAATTTATGCAGCCTATCAGTGTTACCAAGATCTGTATGGTAGGAATTTAATAAGTGCATATATAATTATTTTAAGAACTTACTTTTGATAATAAAGTATGTATATCCTTTGTTATAAATGCAGTTTTTTTTAATTTCGAGTCCGTGTGGAACCTAACCCTTGAGTTTTACATGTTAAGATGCGAAAAAAATATGACTCGACATACGTCGTTTCGATTTACGTAGCGTATTTCGAGAACCTAACATGCCGTAAGTACGAGGACTGCCTGTATTACCTTATCTCTGTTGTAAATGCCTTGCAGTTTATATACAATATTTCTTACAACAAGAGTTGTCGTTCATCTCTTCTTGAAGGTATGTTTAAGTCTTCGTAGTAAAACCCTTGAGATTTGGCTTGCACATGAATTGTCATCGTTCTTGAACTGACCTGCTTGCTTTCTAGGTCGACTTGGTTAGTTTTTACTGTCCGTAATTGTCGCATTTTTAATTCTGACGGCCACAACCTATAAAAGGTGCAAAATGAGGTGATCCGCATATATTAACTTGCATAGTAATTATCGTTACGAATCCAGTAGTTCCGAGTTCGGCGCGGAAATACTTCAAGGCTCACACTTTTAGTTTCATTTACATTGTAGATGGTGCCGAATCTATATATATAAAGCTAATATCTAGGACAAAGTATGTCTGAAAAAATATGATGCTATGATATGTCGGTTAAATTGTTTAGAATTTTCCTTTGCATATGAATTGTCACTAAATCAGTGTCATACACTTTAAACCATTTTGTTACGTCGTTACGTTCTTAATATAGTTTGCGCCGGTCTGATTTCGATATGAACTAAATGTTCAATTTAACGGAAAACTTTTGATATTAACACCTATTGCTCAATTAAAACAAAACAAACATTAATTTTAAAAGACACTTAGACAAAAATGTTAGACTGTAAATCGATCCATATAAATTCTTTCTTTTAATAGGATTATAGGTTTACTTATTATTTACGATCATAAATCTAGAGCCTTTCTTACATTTAGATTTGGGTTTTTACTTTGTAAAATTAAGTACATACCAAAAGGCTTAGTTTAATTTTTAGCCCCCGCAGGTACAGTCTTTGAAACTTCTTTTCGTCATGGAAAAATTTCTTAACAAGTATTACTAGTATACCTAAGTCTAGTTGTATTTGTCAACAGACTTAGTTATACTATCAAACTGTAGTCTAAATACAACACAGCTTCTTTATAACGAGTGTGACACTTGTGTAGGTGGGAGGGTAGTGTGACGCGTTCTTTTATACGGTGCGTTTAAACAGAAAAATCGGTTCACTAGTTAAGGTGCATTAAATTTGCATTTTATTATCTACTTTAAGGTAAAAGCCGAGAAATAACATGGCGATTATCTCTATAAATACACATGTATTTTTTTTTTCATAACAACTTTTGTCAGTAAACAACATTCATATTTGTTGGGAAATTGCTACTTTTATGACTGCGATAAGCATTTTTTCCGATAGTGTGAACATGCGTACAACACGTGAGTTTTTACATTTGCTACTTAGTAACAGTGAAATTCTTATTTCATTGTATTTAAATAAAAGGGTTTTGTGTCACAGATTAAATTATTGTATTATTTATAATTTGGATTGTAACCAGCCGTGCCCTACAATATGTTTCCAGTCTAATTTAACCCTAACAAAACACAAGTTGGTGCGGTTTCCTTTAAAAAACCCCTTAAGTCTATAAATCTTTAGCCAGCATCGGAATACTGGGCTGACATATCGAATGAAATTTCGCGGTAATTTGGCAGGAAAGGTTAGTCTCGAAGAAGCTTGATTTGCTCAGCAAGGCGAGACGGTGCTTCACTCCGTCCGAGCCACCGCTTGCAACTCTATAAAGCGGAAATTCTGCCCCACATGGAGTACTGTTTTTACCTCTGGATGGGAGCTCCCAATTACCAGCTCTTTTCTGTTGACCGTATTCAATAAAGAGCGATTCGAATCGTCGACTACCAGTAACTTTCAGAGCGGCTTGATCCCTTGGCGTTGCGTAGAGTTGTGATGTTTCTCTGCACCTTCTACCGCATTAACCATGGAGAGTGTTTAGAGGAGTTCGGATTAATACCTGCAGCTGAGTTTCATCATCGGTCGTCGAGGCAGAATACAAAATTCCACCCGTATCACCTCGACGTCCGTCGTTCTACAACTGAGCGTTTTAAGGCACTTTTTCCTGTGCCAGATGACCACTGAAGTATTTCCGAACCGATGCATAATTATCGCACGAAAAATCTAAATTTAAATATATTATATTATGTTTATATATTGTATAAATAAACACCTGATTATGACGTACAATTCGTAAAAATATTTCAGGCATAATTGTACCATATAGAATCTTATTATAGAAGATGAGGTTATATCAATATTAAGAACAATATCCGTCTCAACATGTGTTTTTCATAATTGATTCACTTTATATCTATATCAGTATTGCAATTTCCATTGTCATTGTTCTAAATTGGCCTTTGTACGGATTGTATGCTCGGCCATAGGTCAAGTGCTCGCTAATGGGACTACGACATTTCCACACATTGATATTGCGCTAACATATTTGTCTGGAAGGGGGAATATTTTTATCGCGTAATACGCTACACGCAAAAAAAGTGTGGGCGCCCACCAGATACCTGGGAAGATGAAATAAAAGAGATAACCGGGAAATATATTAGATGGAAAATAGTAGCGAAGCTGAGAGACAAATGGGAGATTTTGGAGTCCTTCACTCCGTCGGATGTCGTGTACTAATATTAAATGTAACATAATGTAATACTTATTATAGTTTCCGAATATAGGCTATTTTTAATAATTTAATACGCCATAACCGTTTAAAAAGTAGAAATATATATTTCCTTTGAGGCAGCGTTATATTCTGAATCTCTCATATGACATCGCATGGCCGTCGCAAAAATCAAAGATGTTTTGTACCTAGACAAAAACTATACTATACTATGATTTTTAATTCCGTAGAATTCTGACAGCTATCATTTTTTGACATGTCAGTGATGGCAAAGCTTTTTGGCCGGGCACATTTTTCAATTTCAGTACGAGTCTGGACATCTGAGTCTATACATACATTTTATTGTTAGTTAATGTATCCATTTTATTAAGTGCGGTGCTCCACATTAAAAGTGGTGTAATTACCAGTCGCCGTTAGACTGGTAATTACGTTCCTTTTCATCACAAGCAGTAAAAAACGCACAAGTAAAGATAAAATTTTATTTTTTAAAAAAGGTTGACTATACCTGGAATTAGTAGGCAGTGATGCCAGCTAATATTGAAATATTTGTTGTAAGTAAATTAAAAATAATTCTACGAATATAAAAATCAGAGTATAAGCACTATACCTCAACAAGTTATACTACTATACAAAACATTTTTATTTTGTGCCAAAATTAATTTGTAATTTTAGATGTAAAGAAATGTTCCGGGCATATGATTCACAGATTATTTACTCAATCATATTTTTACTGAATTCCAGCGTTCCTTATATGCGGCCGGCCTATAATTTTGGTAAACGTGCACTGCAAGGAGACGCTGGACGAAGAAGACTGCAGAAGGTTGAAGGAAGTTGTTGATGCGGCATCCGCCATTAAGCTACAACTAGCGCTCATGGGCGAGTTTCTTACTTGGGGAAATGTGCAATGTGAGTGTCATGTTTTTATAAATCCTTTTGAATCAGTAAGTGACAGTGTAATTCGGCCGGGAACAATAACTAATGAGCTGTAGGCGATGAGGATGTTGGCTCGTTTCGTTCGATGTAATTATGATACAGAATTTTAAATTCATAATGTTTTTAACAAAAATTCCAATATTACTTCAAATTCAAATTCAAAATTCAAAGTATATATATGTAAAGAATTGAATTAGTATTTGTTTGTAATGTAGTATGAGTATCCTACCGGATTATGTATGGCGCAAATGATATATGCAAAATTATTGCACTACGCATCGTGTTTTTGTATCACACAACGTAAGTTGTTCCTTATTTAGTGCGGTCAAACTGAGAATCAGTCAAATTTTTCAAAACATAATTATAAACAAAAAAGATTAAGTTCCCCATCATTCCCGAGTATGGAAAAAGATTATTAGCGGTGAAAGGTAAAAAAAAGAGTTTTTCGCGATTTTCAGCAAAACGGTAAGTTTTATTATAAAAGTATCCCAGACAATTGTTGTTCGAGCAGTGTTGGCCAAGTGGCTTCAGCGTGCGACTCTCATCCCTGAGGTCGTAGGTGCGATCCCCGGCTGTGCACCAATGGACTTTCTTTCTAATTGCGCATTTAACATTCGCTCGAACGGTGAAGTAAAACATTGTGAGGAAACCGTCTTGCCTTAGACCCAAAAAGTCGACGGCGTGTGTCCGGCACAGAAGACTGATCACCTACTTGCCTAGTTGACAAATGATCATGAAACTGATACAGAAATCTGAGGCCCAGACCTAAAATGGTTGTAGTGCCACGGATTTGTTTATTTATTTTTTTATCCTAGACAATTGTAGATCATAAAATTATTTATAAAAAATGTATCAATACTTTTTTCCTACGAGCCACCGTTTCTGAGATATTTTATAGTAGGTATGCATGCTATGAGTAAAGTTTGTGAAAAATTAGAAGATATTGCTAATGTTAGGATGAATACGACTGAGCAGCAAGTTGATGCAAGTGATTTACGAGTACAAAAAGATGGTAAAGACAAGACCGGACTATATTATCTATCTCTTTCAATTCTTTTAGCCATCTTAATCTTTGCAGTAGACCTAGAGAAAAGGCCACAGGGCCCTTTGCAACCTAACCCTTAGAGCTAGGCGGGCCGGTAAGTTCTCTTTTGCTTACAGGCGTGCTTTGTTCTAACAGAATTAACTTGGGCATTTCAAATGCGACAAGAGAAACATATATTATCCCTATATCCAAAACATTGTTCCTCAAATTTGCGCTTGGTCATAGTCTCTTATTTTTCATAACAAAAAGATTGAAACTTTTTTAAGACTTCACTAAAAAAAGAAGGAATGAAACTTTTTTACTGAAAGAAAGAAATCGCTTCATAATTATTAACGTGTTTATCGTTTTATATAATTATGGAATGGTTATTAATGTGTTCTTTACTATCATATATACATAGGATATAGTGATAAGTGAGAGATGCTTTGTTCGAATCACTTACGTAATGCGGACATGTACGGTGATTTCTGATAACGCTTGACCTTAAACTGTGGACTTTAAATTATTTTAATGTTACTTATTTTTTATCAGTACAGAACACAAATTCCATCTGCGTTCTCTTATACTGTAATACTTCACATGGACACGATAGCTTAAAATAACGATAAAATTAATAAAGTTACATTTAATTTAATGTCCTTGAACTAAAAATTTGTTTTAAATACGATCAAGCTATTCCAAATAATGTCCGGTTTTATATATTTCCTAAATTAAGATATTGTAAACCACGCCTTATCATGCCTTGTTTGAATTTTTTGTGATTAATTCTAGTAGATTATTTTGTTTTTAACTATTATAATAGGTACTTATTATTGTAATAAATGTTGACGATTCGGTAATTTCTGCAGGCAATTTCTGTTCCACCATCGCATAAATTTCTGTATTCTTTTTTAAATAAATAAAATTTTATCTATGACTAAACGTTTAAATTATAAATTTTAGACACATGTATAGAAAGTACCGAAATAAGCCCTTGAAATTTATTAACCTCTTTATCAAGAAGAGATTGGCCGATTATAGCTATATCTGTAATTAAATAATTATCCGATATTGCAACAAATTAAATCTGATAATGGCACTTGAAATTATTATATTATCATAGTAGTATTAGTATAAATCTTACTAGATTTTTTGACGTCTGCGACTTAAAAAAAAACCTAAAACAATAAGTAATTGAAAACCGCAAATCGATCAAGTCATTGTCAACCATCGCCACGTAGCAATTGATTTTTATTTGCATTAATAAAATTACATTTTCTCTATTACAGCGTTACAAAACTGCGAATCATTGCTGAACGAAGAAGCAAAGACCACAGTGGATGTAAATACGATGGGTAAAAGCTCTGTTCTGTGCCCAGGGAACATAGAAAGCAATTTTAATGGCCATTCGGGGACTATTAAATCTGGTCTGTGCCATCTGGCAATACCGCGCGGCTGGTCCTGGGGCGGCCCAGCTTCCCCATATTGCCCTATTTGGACCGAGATCAAAGTACCCGATTGACAAAAAATAAAAATTGCCGATGGTAGTAATTTATCTGTGGTCTACGTGGTGACGACAGCGCTCCTTCTTATAATACATTGTCTATACTTTGTTTTTCATATTTTTAATCCGCCATTTTGAAGTGACTTCGCGCCATTTTGGCTATAGGCTAATATATCACGCGATTGTCAAACTTACTTGTGTAATTTTAATGTATTTATTTAAATGTAGATAATTTTATTGTTCTGATTGTATATATTCTAATCATGTTATTTTAAATGAATTTAGAAATCGCGTCCCAAAGGTAAATATTTTTTTAATTTAGATAATTTAAATTCCAATGAATTCCTTTTATTTTTAATAGAAGCAAAATGCTTAAAGTTGTAATAGTTTGAAATGTATATTTTTAAGTTATAAGGTTTTTGGTCAAAATAGATTTTAAAACCATTTATGAAGTGAAATACTTGTTACACATCTTTAGAATTTCTTTTTTTTTAATCTAATAGAATTCCAAATCCTTTTTAATTAAATCTTCCATAGTTTTTCGTAAAAAATTGAGTAAAATAATGGGTAACATTGTACCTGAGAGATTTCCTTCTAGAATAGAAAATTTCAAATATATTTCATTATCAAAGTAGTATAGATAGGCAAGTACGAATAAAATCTAAAATAAAAACTGCTCTATGAATTTATACTACCTATAAAATAATTACAATTAAGCCAATTATAAAAAATCTTTTGAGACTACAAATAAATGTCAAAAATGGCGATTTAGTCATATATCCAATATTATAGGCTAGTTCCACTTGATTATCTACTGGTGATATGGCATTATCATACTAATAGCAAGTTAAATGTTTGTTTGAACGTACTTATATCAGGAACTAATGATACGAATGTTATGGTATATGGGATGAATGCAGGGGAAAACTGCGGGGCACAGCTATTTAATAATAACAGACTACATTATAGCGAAATATGACCCACTCTCATTAAACAATTTAATAATGTTGACTCAAAATTTTGCTTAAAAAAATCGCTTTTTTATAAATTGGCACAGACTATAATGCGTTTTGCGGGTTCGATTTTCAAATTTTATTCAATTTGATCACTTATTTATTTTATTGCTGCTAGAAATGTGTTATCTGTCCTCTATATTTCATTATAAGCGAAGTAAACTTGTTTCAATCCGCTCAGATCCACGCCTGAGATAATCTATTGCATAATAATCCGATAAGTGATACAACAACCACGACTTACGCAACGTGACTCCAATATAAAATCTAAAATGGTGCTAATCACGAAGTAAAATCGTTCTACAAATATCTATGTGAATATTGCTTACGATAACTATTTCGTTTTTAAATATTAAAATTGAATGATGAAGAGACGTTTTGTAGGAAATAAAACCTTTCACGATTGACTTAGGGTCACATTTTAAATAGCAGCAATAAAATATTCGGCTAGCTCACAAGCCAATGTGTGCACATCTAAAAGGTTTTCGATATAAACGGTAATTTTCGTTTATCATTAGTACATATTATCAGTATTATCGTGACCGTAACAAAGGTTAACACTAACGAACGAAACATTTGCGTTACAAATTTGTATGAAAATAGTTTTAATGAGAGGCGCTGCAAAATATTTCATTCTAATATTTGACAGTTACGTACAGGTTGTCAAGAACTTGGCGTTCTAGCTCTTCTATGCTCTACGTGCTGCTGTTTTATTAATTGGTTTGAAAGAGTAATGAGTTTTTATGTAACAATTTTTTATGGTATTGGTGAATTACACACATACACACTTTTTGTAAGTGTATGTTGGTGGTAAAGACGTGTCGCGTGTCATATTTTACGTCGGTTTATAAAATTTACAGCAAATTAAAAATATTTTAATCTATCGACAATTGTACTTGTAAACACACAGTCATGAAAATGCATCACTAGCTGACTCTACCCAATATACTGTTTAAAATCTCTAATTGGCAAAAGATACCTATTTAAAAATATTTACATCAAGCAATTGTTTTTTACTCTCTTACATTGTGCGCATTAGAACTAGTTTTGAGACTCTCTTTTAATAAAGTACCCCTACCAATCACGTAGTAGACAAAGGAAAATTTAGTAATTATAGTTCGAATTGTGATATTACGAGATATAATCTAATAAAAACTGTATTTCGTTTAAAAGTACTTGAATTCTCTATTCATTATACCTTCGACCCTAAATTAAACTTACGGATTACGGAACGTTGGCACATGTTACTATATAAAATGTGTAGCTTGCAAATTAAAACTACTTTATTGTTATTTGTATATATTAAAAAACCGATACTCGCGCGATGATTCAAAAAATACTAATACAATTTCTATATTTAAAATAGCATTTGCTTTATGCAAATATTCTACGTTTTCCTGTTAAATGTGATACTCCAGATTTTGAGAAAACTGGCAAAGCACGTCTTTGTTTTGTATAAAAATTTATAAATTAACCTTTTAATGATTAAAATCTAGATTTGTTTTTTAGTCATTGCCAATACGTCATATGTCGAATGTAATCCGTCAGTTTAATGTAGTTTTAATGTTATTTCTTGCTCAACTTATCCTAAATCAGTCGCAGAGTGTATAAGCTATTTTTAATCGTTATTTAAAGAGAATACAATGTGATATCACATACAAAGTGTAACATTACTTAATATTTTTGTATTATGTACATAGATGTTGATCTCGTAAATAATTAAAACTTATAGCTATTTATTTAGCGTGACACTAGCAATTTTTTAATATTGACTTTTAAGACTGGTTTCAAGGAATTTCTTTTATTTCTTCGAAGTCTGAGGAAATGGAACATTCGTCCTTCCTCCAATACTTCGAAGACTGCAATTATGTACTAGCCTTTAATTTTTATTTACCGACAATAAACAACATTTTATTATTTGCTTTGTGTAAAATTATTTATTGTATGTGTCGCAAATTACCTATGTTTTGTGATATTTAGTTTATATTTAAATGTTATTTTATTTTACGGCTTTGGTGTAATTTATTTGGTGAAAATATAAATCCAATATATATTTTCGTTTTATTTTAAAGTATAATTGCCATATAAGTTTTAAGTGTCTTGTCTTGTATTTATTTGAACAAAGGGACACAACACAAACTGTCTCATGTTTTAGCAGTTATATGTAAGTATATGTAAAAGTCAAAAAATATTTAATCAAATAGGTAACCCAATGTACACTTATGAACGTCAAAAAAGAAATGTATATGAAATGCTTCTAACTTTACATTTAGTGCCAGTTCTCAAATCAAGGGTGTAGAACGGAAGAGAAGAACTGGCAATAAACTCTCCGCCACTCTTTTTAATCGCCATGTTTTTTTACACATCGTTTGTAAGGAGCTGCAACCATTACACCATGTTCCACATGACATCTTATGCCTCATATATAGTTAGAAATTGAATAAATTATAAATACACTGAGGTACTTGTTGCTTGTTATTTGCACATCCCCTCGAGAGGGGTGAGCTTGGCCCGTTGAGTGGTGTATAAATGTTCGCGCCCTGCTCATACAGGGTGGACCTATAGCCCTTGGTGGGGCTGCAGCGCGCGTGGAGACATGGGCTCTACTCGCTAAAGTATTGTTTATGATATAATATATCCATAGCGGGGTATGACGTCATCGCAGTTGTCAACCGCAGATTGTTGCTACAGGTTTGTATGTATAATATTGTAGAAATTACTTAAATACTGTTTTTTAAAATATGAATTAATAGAATAATTTATTGCCATAAACAGAATACATAACAAACATGTATCCCTGGCTCCTGATGTAGTTATATCTGTATTGAAAAAATATTAATGTAACAAATTAATTTATGATTAGGTAACTAAATTACAAAATTTTATTTTACTTATTCCAATTACAATTTAGTAGATTTTCCAAATCGTCATAGTTATATGTTATAAGCCAGACCGCGATTTTTAAGAAGAAGATTCAAGAATACTGCGATAAATTTTTTACCACAATCGAAAAGATATATCTTATATATATATAGGACTATCCTGATCCTCAGGCATCTTATGCTGAAATCGAAACTGTTTAGAGTCTAATATTCAGTTGTACTTAACTAGTCCTATATCAACTAATTTCTCTACAATTTTGAAGATAGAAAAGTAAAGCGCCTATAACTTGATGGTAGATCTTTACCACCAGCTCTGTGTCATAATTGCGTTGCTCAGAATTCCAAGAAATATTCCTAGTGTAAAACATTGGTTGATCAAATGGGCAATCGGTTCAGCTAAGGTTAAATCGACGCGTAACATGTCTAAATACTGCGAGCGCGTTGGGGGGAATTATGAACTTACGTCATTTCTGTTCACGACTTGAAACACGATTGAAAGTAAGATTAAGATTATACAGGAAGGTACGTGGATAATTTTTTTTACATTTGAATAATTTGTTGTGTGAACCTCTTTCATTAAACTAAGCATTAATGTGCCTAGACAGTCTAGATCTATAAACTGTCATTACTACCATTTTGACATATATGTAAATAATGTTAATCAGTTGAATCCACTTTCGACTGATCTCTGAAGACTTTGTTTTTGTACCAATTGTTTTTATATAGTTCCAAAGATGCCAGATGCAAGAAAGAGGATAAATTCCTTACTTTACGATGAAAGAACTACTTACCGAACAGATTACCAAATCGTTCCTTTTAGAGAATATCCTAAAACGGTTTACCAGCCAAAAAAAAGCCGTTATGTGAGGGGCCAACCAGCGTACAGAAATGTGCATACGTTGTCCGAATGGAAGGGGCCTATGCCACCCTTTAACGCACTTCTAAAGCCCAAAGACATTTTGCAAACTAGACCTAGTGTGGTCCAACAGCCTTATGTAAGTATGCCAATAAAAATTGTTTAATAGATTCGTCGTCCTATATTTCTATATCTACTATAAATTTTCCTCTAAATAGACAAATAGGTAACCTACTTAATTTTTAAGTAAGCAATTCGCACTAAGAGCTAGTCTTGATTTTCTTATAAACTTAGTTCGTGGCTACCTGAGCTAAGATCATTTTCAGAAGCTTAAATGTATTTTAACTTTTAAGTTATAAAAGAGTGTACAATAATTTTTCAGGAAAAACCAATCGATACTGACAGAGAGATGGCCCAAAAAATTCGACCACGGCTGGTGATGACACCAGCTGTTAGTATGGATGACATTGCTGATTCGCGAGCACGTGATATACTCTGTACGGATATGTATACGAGCGATATGTCGCGCGCAACAAAGGAGGCAGTCGCTCCGTACACTAATGTACGAGCACCTTTTCCCGGCCTGCCTGCGCCTGCTAATCCTGTATGAATTTTTATAAACTTTCGTTATTTTCGGTAGAACGATATCTGAGTATGCTTCAAATAACATTAGTCTTTACCTTTAGTTCACTGTAAAGGTTAGGGTTAGGTTACGGTTAATGAGCATTTAAGGTCTCCCTATGTCAGATAGATATGTCCTTTTCTTTAATGAAGCGCATGAAACAAAAAGGTCTGGAGGTCTGGAGGTCTGGAGGTGGATTCCGTACATATGTATGTAACACACATGTGGTCAGGGATAAATTGCAATGGTGAAACAATGGGGTGGCAGTGCTGGCAAAAGGCCACGGGCCCACGACCCAAGAGACATTATGTTCTATGGATGAGTATGAACTCTCCAATACGCATTGCGCTATCGTAAGGTCTACAGACCATTCCCTCTCGCCTAAGAGAGGAGGCTATTGGCGGGACATACATATACAACGTGTAATTAAGTACGCTGAAAATCTCGAAGTTTATTAAAATTAAACTGAGTACAACGTAACGATTTTTACTGATAGGGCCCATCAAAATAATTTGCCACGGGACCCAGATGGTGTAGTTACGCCACTGCTAAATTGATTGATCGTCTGAAAGTGTATTCACTTTTGTTATGCGTAGATTGTGTTGCCGAAACTTCAGTCGCCTTTAGTATCACCGGAGTGGCGAATGGAGAGCGTTGCGTGGGATGGACGACAACTTAGAAGCTATTGTGACGTCAGTAGAGATTTCTGGCTGTCACATGCTTTGCCTAGGTAATTTTATTTTGTTCCAAACTAGTATCGCAAAACCTTCACTTACGGTGTTAAGATAATTTGACAAAACAATATAAATAAAGGCAGACAAAGTTACGGGCATTAGTCGTAATCAGATTCGTCGTAAATTATCACTAATGGTAGATTGTTGTTTTAATTATACCGAGAAGAACGATGTAGTTTAATTATGAAATATGCAATGTCTATTACCTCAGCTTCAGCTGCTAGTGTCTAAGTAAACATTGACATAATTACTCTACTTTGAGAATCCATTTATATCTAGTCGCACATTATATAAGTTTGGGCCAAAAGATTTACAAAATTGCATATATCTAACACAAAATTTATTTAAAATTAATTAAATTTCTTTCAGATGTCGAGCTTGTGATGAAACTAAAATAGTTAAAGATCATAGAGACAACTTACGAAAAATTAAACGAGGGAAATAGGTGAAGCTTGAAAACAATCTAACGCCCTGCTCCGATATTCCATCCACAAAAACTCTGCATGTTATAATTTCTTTAAGTTTTTAGTTATATTTATATTTTTTAGTTTGTTCTTTATTCTCATAAATTAAATAAGCTTGTTACGGAATTTTATTTCGTAATGAAAATTAGCAATACCTTAAACATGTTGCAAATACTGCAACATCTGATAATATTAATACCTAGAACCAAGTAGAAATTTGTTTGTGAGATGGATCCAACGAAGAACTTGCGTAGGTAGTTATTAAAATATCTCTCCTAGCAATCTTAAGGTTATCTCTGATGTTCTATCTGATTTGACATCGATCACAAAATCTTACTCTATAAAGAAATTTAAACCTAAATCAGTAAAATAATAGTGAAATCTGTGTCAGCCCTACGATTCTGTAACTCACTTTTCGAACTCACACAGCGGTTTTCGCATCGGCGGTCGCTCTCAAATCAGTCGTGAAGCAGTCATTTTATGATTTGGCATTCTGATAAACAATAAACTACAAGCTCCCACATTTTCAGAACAAATGTTTTTCTTCTGTCTGGTGATATGATATTTACGCTTTAATTAATTTCGATTTTGTTTCATATCTCTACTACAGAAGAGCTTCTTAATAAATTTGGCTACTAGGTTAGGGACTAGGGTAAGATTCAGAGTCAAGAATTAGAGGAAGTATCTAATACTTAGTGCTTAAAAACGTGATTGATTTTGATATATCTACAGTCATTTATATTAATAATTTTAACTATTAATTTAACTAGATACCTACTCTGTACCTATCTAGTTTATTACGCAAAAAATGTGTGACTTTTGATATTGTGCGACGTTCTGTCATGTTTAATTTTGACTTATTTAATTTTTGTTGATTTTTTGCGTTTTTTATAAAGTGTATTTTTATATTCATTTTAATTATTTTACCAACATGCCTGACATCCGCTTTTACGATAATATGTTATTCAACTATGAAACAACAAACAGGACATATTTTCAACCTGAAATAATAAATTATTATCCCCCAACATTGTACCAAGAGAAAGTAACGCGCCCAAGACCCGCATACAAACCGTTAAAGAATATCCATACTCTTACAGAGTTCAAGAAACACGATTTACCTACGGAATTATTTGCAAACCAAAAGCAAATTATCCGTAAAGATGCTCGCAAAGTCCACAGCACTGGCATTGTAAGTTTTCTAATTTGTAACTACATATTGCCATACGCCTTAGCTAGGCTAGAATGTGCCCATCTTTACCACATTTCAGCACTTTTTCAGTCTTTATCTCAATGGAAAAAAATCGTCTTTCTTTCGATATTTTTAGTAGGTCTGACATAATATTTAAAGCTTACATTTCTTTTTATAGTGGCTACATTTATTTTTCAATCATAAACTCAAAAAAAAGGTAAATATGCCGTATCGCGGCACCAGCGATTTTGAGGCTGTTTTTTTTACAGTCGCGTTATGATGGCGCATGAAAAAAAAAATCAATTCATTTAAAAAAAATATTAATATACTAACCTAACCTAACCGAACAATATTAATAATAGGTTTTTTCGACAGCTCCGGCGCTGCGGGAAATGCAGCCCCTCCGCCATTGCGTACCAAAGCACAGGCATTATATTCCAGCCTCCGCTGCCTCCATGCCTGTGCTTTGTTACAGCGGGTGGGGGCTGCTCTTACTCCGCGCCTCCGATTTTTTATATACACTCTAGGGGTAGGGCAGACAAGACAACGTGGATAGTGGGGTGCTCTGATTCGGTTTTGGGTACTTTTTGAATTTTTTTTTTGGCAAAAAGGTCATGCGCCATCATAACAACACTAGTTACGGTGCTGAGAACTCATGACGAAGTAATTTAAAAAAATCAGCCTCAAAAACGCTGGTGCCGCGATACGGAATATTTACAAAAAAAATTTTCACGAATAATTGACCTTTTGGCTTTTCGTTAAATGCTATGAATTCATTGTTTATCAAATGTATAATTCAATTACTTAATCGGAGGCAGTCTAAATGTAATCCTTACAGGAAAATCCTGTGGAAGAGGGGAAAAATCATGTTCAGGCGACGCGGCCTCGTCTTGTAATGCCACCTGCACTTAGTATGGATGATATTAAAGATTCTAGGTAGGTACTTACTTACAACTTATAACTACAACATCAAATCAAAAAGTATTAGACCTATCCAGTACCGAAACTTGTCACAAATAATTCAAAAATACAATATTTTTGTCGTTTTTTTTAACTGCATACATGGAATTTTATTAAATAAGTCTGCAGTAATGAGTAGCCTAAGTTGTCTATTGTAGTTTAATATAAATACAAAATATCTCGATCATAAATGTAAGTACATAGAATTTCGTAGCTATAGGTTTGAATTCAGTCTGTTAGGCATGTTATCTACGAATGAGTTAAAGTGAAAAATTAAAAGATATATCGACTCAAATACTAACATCTTTAAACTCATGCCGCAGTTGTGTACATGTTTCAATTTCAAAAGGACGAGGTTGACTTTTCGACGTATTCTTTGCTTGAAGGCAGGAAGTCGGCACCAGTAAGAGAGATCTGTACATTGCGCATTTTATAATTACGCGATTGACACCGATTAATGTCTTTCCAGTATCCGCGAATTGCTCATAAAGGACATCTATCAATCTAGTGTTAATGTGATGCAAAGAGATGTGTCGACAGCAACTGGAGGATGTCGCGCACCGCTAGACGGAAAATACTCGCCGGCTAATCCGGTAAAATTTTGTTTCAAACAATCAGAAATGATATGAGTGCAGCAACAAGTTTTAGGCTTGATGCTTATATTTAGTCGCTCGAATAATAGTTAGACAAGTGTTTAAAGACTAGTGAGAATTGAAAGATTGCAATAAATAAATTAGAAAATATAAAATCCAGAGATTATATATAGCATAACCAGATAGGTTTATATAAAACACCATTTAATAACGGTAAACGTCAGTAAAATTACGTAGATTCTATATTAGCCACTTGACGGACAATTCAGAAATTTACCACTTTTTCGAAAATGTTTGTAGGATATAATAATTTCTTTGAGCAGTGTTGGCCTAGTGGCTTCAGCGTGCGACTCTCATCTCTGAGGTCGTAGGTTCAATCCCCGGCTGTGCACCAAGGGACTTTCTTTCTATGTGCGCATTTAACATTCGCTCGAACGCTGAAGGAAAACATCGTGAGGAAACCTTAGACCCAAAAAGTCAACGGCGTGCGTTAGGCACAGAAGGCTGATCACCTACTTGCCTATTAGATTACTAAATGATCATTAAACAGATACAGAAATCTGAGGCCCAAGCCTAAAAAGGTTGTAACGCCATTGATTTTTTTTAAATAATAATTTCTGCATTTAAGTAGACATATGTCCATATGGTTATTCTTGTGTCATTTACAATATTGTCCTAAATAGGTTAGTTATTAGGGATGAAGTCATAATTTTTTTTAAATTTACTCCCGCAATAAAAAGACGTCATGTCAATACAGTATATTGCAATGACCCGCTCAACGTCAGCATCGTCCCTTATAGTAGAGGTTACAAAATTGCCGAGGTATTTGACCTCATCTGTCCTCTTTAGTGTACCACAGAGATAAAGTGGAGGCATATTCATCACCTCTTTAGAATCACTCTGGGTGATTATACACTTTTTTACCATCGTAAATTAACCCTTGAACAGCCCCATAGCTCATATTGCAAAAACTTATTTAATTTAATTTTAAAGTATGTACACCCATGTTAGGTTCGTATTTTTTTCTTTTAGCGTACAAACGTTTTTGTTAATTAGTTTCCTAAAATTGATAGATGGCGTTTGCAAAACTTCAAATGCCGGTAGTACCACCCGAATGGAGAATGGACTCAGTGACGTGGGACAACAGACAAGTTCGTGGACACTGCAATCCAGATAAGTCATTTTACTTGTCTCAACCTTTAAGGTAAATAAGCAACTTGTATACTAAGAATATTATATCGACTTGCGAAATCTAGTTACTACACTTGGTGTAAGGATTTTAGTAACAAAATTGAACATTCTACATTTTTTTGAACTAATTTTAAAGGAAAAAAAACATTGTATCAAGAGATTTAAAAAAATCGAAAAAACCTTTCTCTTATCTCGATTATCACAAACTCTTATTAATTTCATTTATACATACAAAATCTAAGCTCGTAGCAGTTGAAGCGAAACAATTCCAAAATATGTACTAATATTCAATGTAATGCTATGTATATTTTTAGGTGCGAAGTCTGCATCTCCACAACGGAAAGAAAAGCTCAGAAGAAAACAAAATATTCAAACAACAAGCTTTATTAGTATAGACAAAATATACATTAAATTTTCGTAGATCAACGTGAATACAATTTTAGAATTTTTATAACATTTTTATTTTTTAACTTGAGATTATTGGAATAAATGTTGAATATTACTTTTTATTTCTACTATATTCGAATTAAGTAAAAAACAGCCTAAAATCTAAGTATCACATCAACTTTTATTCGACACGGTCTGTAATGAGAAAAACGTTGGAAACGATTATGTTGGACGAAAAAATGAAATAAACATTTCATACAAAGCACCTCGAGTATAAAAACATATAGAAAAGATAAAAATATTATTTTTAGACTAGATTTATAATATGTCTTAAATTCATCACTACTAATATAAATATCTACACTATATGAATCCTATAAATATTCGATTAACTCCAACAGATTACAGAGAGAGTATACAAAGAAATTAATCTGAAAAAGCATTCGTGATTTTTTTTTCTTACCATAAGCTTGTTTAAATAATATGAGAAACATTTCATCGTTTGCGGAATGTTCAATATATAATGATACACAAATAATTAATAGTAAAATAAATACACCTTCGTTTAATTGAGTAAATATTATATGCTATTAATTAATAAAAAACAATACAAAAAAATTGGGACTGAGACTTCTTTAAGTTTAGACTAATGTCTGCGGATATTATTAATTTTAAATTGGCATATTTTATTATTTATTCATAAAACGTATAAACTACCAAATAACGGTATACGATTGCGGAAATGGTCGTAACCATAGTAACACATTCGGTACGAAGTTGTAACCACGTTTTAAAAGCCGAAAAAAAATCTGAGCTTAGGTTTCCTACAAAAGCGGTGCCGTTAAGAAACGGCCGTCTTTAATTTTTTTACATAATGCAAAGAAACAATCATTTTCGATCGTCCAAGTCACGTTTCCACACGTTGTATTAATTAAATATGGGCAGCGCTACACGCGAAAAACGTTGAACTAATGTTTATCACCGCTATGACGGCCGTCTTGCAAATGACAGCACCGCTATTTGACCTTATTTATAGACAACGTATGGGTGACGTCACCCAACGCTTTTCTAGGAAACCTAAGCTTAAGTATAAATATGTGCATTAGCTAGCTTTTTATTAATTTTATATTTTATCTTAAATCGTGTTCATATAATATCCTCTGTTCATAATTAAATTCTATACTTATAAGTACTGCCACTAAACGAAGGCCACATTTATTTAACGATAAATATTTTGTTCACAATTCTTCCGTTAATCACATCTGATGTGATTCTCACGGGTCACATTGTGGTACAAATAAGGCATATATTGGCGAGGGCAAAGGCCGAATTTTGTCTTACGGCTGGATTTGCGTCTTTTAGGAGTTGTAGCAACCTCGTTCGAGCCGTGCGAGTGATTTCAGGGTCTAAACTGAACTCATCTGGGTGATTTGGTTGGATGCGGTATAAATCTGCATATAGGTATCCTGCAAATGATATATTGATGACAAGATGATGACAGAGAGATGGTTTTATTTTAGGAAATTATGGTCTTTCTCCCCATGTTTTACTTTTCTCCGAATTCGAAATTAGGACTTCCGGACTAAAAACAAACCTAGCTAGGCTAACCATATTGCAATGTAACATTTAGATGCCAACTAAAGATTTGTATGCTTTGTACTCACACATGCATGCACGCGTGTAGCGCGTTGCGTAATTGGTTAAAAAAAATAAAGATAAGAAATAGTTGTAAACAGTTGAAAAAAATCAAAATTGCAATTTAATTTTTTTTTTAAGTTTGTTATGGAAGAGCTGGGAACCCAGACACAGGTATTTTTTACTTAAAAGATTTCCCAATCGTACAATATGTAATATGATAATGCATGCACTTGTAATTAATTTAAAATTCTAAAAAATCTAAAATTGTTATTCAATAACAAGTTCCATTTTTAGCAGATATTGGAGCCCCTGAACTAAGTCTAGGGAGACCTGTACATCAGGGTACTCGGCTCTTCCAATGGTATAACGAAATAGTAACTTAACAATAACTGAAACCAAAATACTAAATAATAAAGAAAAACAGAAATCTAAGACTAATTACTAAACTAAGGATACAGGTTTACATGGTTGAGATTTACAGGTTTACATTTGTTCGCAACATAGTGATAATCTAAGGGAAGGGAAGGATGGGATGGGAAGTGAAGCTTCACTTCACTTTATTTATAATGGCGACATCTGTGTAAATCACAATTCCGCCAATGTCACGTTCTAAGTCTTCACACAGTGAGGATAGATTTGATAATTTTACTAGATTGAATTTATCTAAGCAGAGTTACCCAAAACAAAAATGACATCACAATAAATACAACACACACAGACATCTAATAATATATACAAAAGGTTAACATTTTACTACAAGGTATGGAGGGGAGAATCTTATTTATAACTTTAATTTATTAACAGAAATAAATTTCCCTAAAATATTGACGATCGAGCTGGATGGGAGGGAAAGTAGGGAGTTAAGGTTACATGGACGAGGGAAATCTGAAGAAAGATGGTCAAATAACGAGTCATTAATTAAAGAACAGTTAAAAAATATGTGGTCTGTCGAGCCTTCGTCCATACCACACTCACAGAGAGAACTGTCTTTAATTTTAATTTTGGCTAGATGAACGGGAGTACAAGCGTGCCCTATACGAAGACGGCAGATTATAGACGTGACCTTTTTGTTTAAAAACTTATATTTAAAAAACCACGGCGAAGAAGGGATTGAATACTGAATATTAGCATAGTGCCTGCCAGTTTTTACTTTAGAAGATTGCCAATCAATAGTCCAGGATTTTAAAAGGTGGGAGTACGCAAGAGCTGATAGGTCGTGGGCCGAGATGTTGGGATGCTGACAAGATCCGCAGAAAATAGCACCTTTTGCACAAGAGTCAGCAGTTTCATTACCCGCTATACCACAATGACTAGGTATCCACAAAAGTACAATATGAATATCTTTTTTACTACACCTAAACAAAGCTTCTCTTATTTTTAGAATAGTATTATGTTTTTTTTAGACCTGAAGGGATTGGAAAGAATTGCCTGTAAACAGCTGCGAGAATCGGAAAAAATTGTAACTTTATTTAGGTTGTGGGACTCAGCATACAAAACCGCTTCTAGGATTGCAAAAGCTTCACCTGAAAAAACGGAGGTCAATGGAGGAAGTTTAAAGCTCAATACTGTTTTGAATGAAGGAACCCATACAGCCGCACCGATGTACTCATTATTGGGAATCTTGGAAGCATCAGTATACATCGGTAACCAACCCTGCCAGTCTTTTAAATTTTTTTCCAGAAAACAAGTGGAAGCTTGGGTGGATTTTTTTTCAATTCCAAAGTTTAAAATTATTTTAGGATCAAAAATGAGGGATTCATAACTATTTAAAAACAAGGGATTACTAGGGAAACTTTCAATAGGATTAGGAAGACGAGAAAGTTTATTAAAACTGTATAACAGGCATGGAACATTACCTGTACTAGATGGCATCGTGAGATTAGATAAGCGACGTAATTTGGACAAGATGGAATGTGAAGAGTATTGAAGGACTTTGATGAAGAAGCGGTCACTTAAAAATTGTCTACGTAAATACAGGGGGGGGTCAACACATTCTATTTGAAGAGCATTGATGGGAGAGGATTTCATAGCACCAAGGATGATGCGTAAAGATTTCGATTGAATTTTGGAAATTTTATCAAGGGCTTGCTTGTTGCCAGGATCTAAAAGGAAGGTGCCATAATCAAAATGACTTCGTACCACAGCATTGTATAAAAGCTTTTATGAGTAGGGGTGTGCTCCCCACCTCACACCAGATAATGAACGGAGAACATTAACACCCTTCTCACTTTTTTTAATCACATGGTTAAAATGAGGAACACCGTTTAACTTTGAGTCTAAAATAAGGCCTAAAAATTTTACTTGCTTACAACACGATACCAAGGACCCTTTATATGAAATGTTACACCGTGGAACCTTGTATTTTGTAGTAAATGTGACTGCCGAGCATTTGGGCACAGAAATAGAGAGACCATGATCATTTAACCAATCACCCAAATAATCCAAAGCCGAATTTAGGCGAGATGATGCCTCTTCAATAGAATTTGATGAAAAGTATAAGGCTACATCGTCCGCGTATTGAAGAATCTGACAGAAGGAATTCACAACAAGCTCCAGGTCATAGGTGTAAATGTTGTACAGAAGGGGACTCAAAACAGAACCTTGAGGTAAGCCCCTCCAAATAGATCTAGGAGACAGCTCCGTATTTTGAGATCTTATAATAATATAACGATTCGAAACTGCATTGCAAACAAAACGTACCAACTTCTCAGGAATACTCAGCTGAAGCATTTTTTGCCTGAGCACTGGAACCAGCACGTGGTCATACGCAGATGCGATATCCAAGAAAACACCCACCAGGAACTGTTTCTTTTTAAAAGCAATGCGAATGTCGGTCGTTATTATACTTAGGCTATCCATCGTACTTAAGCCTTTCCTGAAACCAAACTGGGATTTTGCAAAGATATTGTTACTTTCACAAAACCATTCTAAACGAATTTTAATCAAATGTTCCATAATTTTTAAAAGGGTAGAAGACAAAGCAATAGGTCTGTATGAAGAGAAATCTGATGGATCTTTGCCAGGTTTTAGAAGCGGAATGACGATTTGTCTGTTCCACGATTCAGGAATAATTCCAAGATCGAAAAAACAGTTTACTAAATCTAGAAAGTACCTCTTAGTGCCTAATGAAGAATTTATGAGGAATGAGTAAGGGATTCCATCTTCTCCAGGGGAAGAGTCAGAGATACCATTTAATGCTTTGTTAAGTTCTTCCAAGGAGAATTGACAATCTAGACTGTTTGAAGAGGGGATGTAAGAATTATACTTATAAGGAAGACAATCATAAAAAGGGACTGATGGAGGAGCCAATTTGTCGGCAAAGGAGGTAATCCAGCTAGACGGATCATTAAAAGGGACATCATAAGAATTGAGGGAACAACGGAATCTTCTGATCTGCCTCCAAACAACAGACGAAGGGGTACCAGGGCACATGCTCTCACAGAACTTATGCCAACCAAGACGTTTCTTATTATTAAGAAGTCTGCGAGCAGCTGCAGAAGCTTGTTGGTAGACTAAAAAATTTTCCAAGGTCATGCAAAGACTGTATGACCTCTCTGCCGTTTTTCTTTTTCGAATCATCTCAGTACATTCGGAATCCCACCAAGAAGGAGAAATTTTCCTTTGTGTAGAAGATTTGAGTGGAATATGTAAACTGGCAGATGAGGTGAGGGAGTTGACAAAATCATTGTATGAAGATAGGCAGTTTTCAACAGAAACTGCGGGGAGCGCAGCTATCTTAGAGTCAATAGAAGATGAAAAGTCTGACCAATTGGCCTGATTCAGTTTAAATTTTAAAAGAGGGAAGGGCGAGTAACGCTCCTTAAATTGGTTGGGAGATCAATTAAAATGGGGAAGTGGTCACTCCCACAAGTGCTCTTAAAAACACGCCAGGATAGAAAAGGGAAAAGATCAGGAGAACAAAGTGATAAATCCACTGCGTTAGCGGGATTCTGAGATGGAAGACTCCTTCTCGTAGGACAACCATTATTCAAGACACTTATGTTTATATCATCGAGTAAATCTAGTAGAAGGGACCCAAAAGAATCTGAGGAATGACAACCCCAAGAAACATGGTGGGCATTGAAATCACCCAACATGACAACAGGAGGAGGAACCGAAAGGATAATAGAACGTATATCAGAAATGAGGTCGATATGGGGGTGGGGAATATAAACAGAAATAAACGAGATATTAAAAGCTCTCATAGCAACAGCATTGATACCATCACAATGAGGAAGAGATAATGAGTGGAAGGTGAGGGATCGGCTGACCAAAAAGGCACAGCCAGCATAGCCATCATCCCTGTCATCTCGGAGACATCGATACCCAGAAACCCTAAAGCGGGAACCCGGCAATAACCAAGTCTCCGAAATGGCTAGAATAGATGGAGCGAATTTATTGATAAGAAAGGTTAATTCTGATTTTTTACTGCGAATACTGTTACAGTTCCACTGAATTACCAGATTCGCCATTTTTGGTGACGAATGAGTGGAGCAAATTAATTTTTTGGGCAACGTGGGACGGTATGGGGATGTCATCATACTTGGATAGCATATTACAAATGACTGCCCATAAGCAGTCAAGAAGATTTTCATTTGGGGAGACTTCATTGTTGATAAGGGAAGGGGAGCTTACGGCACAACCATTGGGTAAAGAGGAGGGTAAATTGGAAGTAATGGCCTCATGGGCCGCCTTATCAAAGGATTTTCCTGATGTTGGTCTAGAGCGAGGAGGGAGAAATACAGTTTTCCTGTAAGATGTAGTCTGACGGGAAACTTGGGAAGGTAAAGTAATGGGCTGGGATAAAGAGGAGGGGGTTGCTTTTACAGAATCTGCAAAAGTTTTGCCATTGATAGGTCTAAACCGAGCCGATGCTTCGAGATAAGAAATGCTCTCTTGAGACATACAACTCTTTATATTTCTTTGTCGATTATGTTCAGGGCAAGCTTTGTTGGTCGCAAAGTGTGAGGCAGTACAAAATAAACATAATGACTCTGTTTCAGGGATATTACACTCATCACCAGAATGGGCTAGACTACAACGAAAACACCTAGGCTTCGATCGGCATTGTGACTTTACGTGACCAAACCTACAACAGTTAAGGCACTGAATTGTAGGGAGTTGGTACGTTTCAACGCGGAGGGAACTATGACAAGAGAATATTCTCTCAGGAAGGGTTTGACCTTGAAAAGTTAGAACAACGGTTTGTGTTGGGATCCAATTAATTTGACCATCGGAGTTCGTCTTGCGGTTTAGGCGTCTGGCCTTGAGGACTATACCTGTACCTTCGGGAATTTCCAAGGTTTCGACAAATTCCTGCATCGACCAATCAGCTGGGACACCTCTCACAAGGCCCATACGGGAAACATTATAGTTAGGAATCGTAACAGAATAGTTGCTGGAAGGTACAATGGGATTAGACACAAAATTATTCGCATCTAAGCCCGACTTAAACTCAACAGATATTCTGTTACGTCCCACTCTTTTAACACCATCACGAACAATGTTACTTACTTTATTTTTTACCAAGAAGTGACCAAATTTAATTGGGCGGATTGATGTACCGGCGGATGGGTCAGATTCAGGGCAAGAAACATGGACTAAAAGGGCCCTTGTCATTGACAAGGTATGACTTGGGAGAGCCAGTGAGAGATGGATGGGAGTAAAATCCTGGGTTGACTTCATCAACAGATGACCGGACATCAGTCATTGGTTTTTTGGAAGGTTCCACTAAAGATTCATTGACAGTATCAAGTCTGCGCTTGACACCAGGTTGGGGCAACAGTGGGGTGGATAAATCCATTGATTCCACCGGAGAAGAGACCCTATCCGGAGGATCAGGGGGGTCTGGAGGGCGTTTCTCCATTATAAACTACCAAAAATATAACAAGGTAAAGGGAGAACTATAACAAATAAATAAAAATAACTTACGTAATTAGTTGATGTTATTAATTAACCACCACCAATAGGATAAGTCAACTTATATTCATAAAACTACGAGAAAAAATAGAAAATACTCGGGAAGTGAAGGGTAGAAGTGTAAAATTGTGTAAAGTGCAGTGTGGACATTAAGAAAGGTTACATTATACTTGAATTAGCAATTCAGCTTCTTCGTAGTTAAGTGAACAAAGCCACTTGGTAATTAACGTTTTAATTTCGAATAATATTTTATGGTAAATATTAAGGATTCTTTTAACTAATTAACACATTTTTGTATTTATTTAATAGTTTACTTTTTAATCAATGCCGTTGACATTTATTACTTCATAACATATAACTTTGCACCGCTTCCAAGGTCAACGCAAGACCTAGAAATCATGGGTCAATATCGAGACATCTGACAGCTCACAAAAAGCTATATTTAAAAATGGGATTGATTGATTAAAAAAATACAAAATCCTTATAAAACTTCAACAATAAAAGCTAATAGATCGTAATAAAACTTAAAAAACTGTTTCATCAACTTACCAACCAACAATGGAGAAAACGGCTTCAAATCCTCCCTGGCCGTGTGCAAATAATTAACCGCCGTATGGAGACACTTGACCACAGCACTTGGCATCTCATCAGCCAATTGCCTCATCAGGGCACAGAGGAAGTCATCCAGGTATAACCTGCCTTCATCCACTAGATGGGTCTGGATGAAGTCATTGGACTTTCGAACTTTGAATGTCTTAAAGATTTGACGGAGAGTGGATTTGCAAGCCTAAAAATTAATCTTAATATATATAAATTACGTGTCACGTTGTTTGTCCGCTATGGACTCCTAAACTACCGAACCGATAACAATCAAATTTGCACACTGTGTGCAGTTTGATCTAACTTAAAAGATAGGATAGCTTACATCTCAATTTATACCCGCAATATTATTTTATTGCAAAATATTTGTTTATTATTTTATAGTCACAATTCTAATAGATGGCGCTGTGTTGAAAGTACCAACGTTTCACATAAGCTACAATTTAATGGCATTACCACCAATAGCATGGTGGTCCCCATGACTGGTGTTCTCCTACCGTTTCCCTTGAATAGTTCACTACTATGTAATATAACAAAAACCTTAGCCACAGCAACGCTTGGCCGGTCTGCTAGTTTATTTATATATTATAGCTGTGTCCTTACACATACACTTATTTTACATTTCGAAACAGTTATTCCTGAGTTAACAAGTTCAAACAAATTCTTGAGCGATGGAATATAGGGGAAAGTGATTGTAATAATATGTTTATATATTTTAACTATGGAACTAGAGTATCACGGCTGTCATAATAGACGCATAGCTTAAGGATGGGCATGGGTCTTTAGTGCTTGCCATATAACTTTATAATAAGCTTTGTACTAAGACTTTAAATATAATGTATAAATTATCAATTAAGTAAGCGTAAGTTTTTGTGTATGTACCCAGTTGAGCTATCTGTGGACCGATGTTCTAAAGCCTCATAACATCTTCATTCTATTATAATAGATTTAAAAAACTAGTGGGTCTACAACCTTTTAGACCTGGGCTTTGGAATTACTATACATAATAGAATTAGATTCCGCAAACACTTTTTTATGCATTAAGGTTTGTGTGGAATAATTTCCCAAAATATACATTAACTAGATTTCTGTATGTTTCGTAATCATTTGCTTTTTTAATAGGCAAGTAGGTGATCAGCCTTCTGTGCCCCCTCGTATCATATATAAACATTGTATGAACGTTACATCTTATTATATGCGACCAAATAAAAATAACAGTATTAATTTTGTGCACTTAAGAGTTTTATATAAATCACGGCCATCTTCAGTCAATACATTTAATTGCTTTCATGACTTTTAAACATTTACATGTACGTTATTACTTATTATTGTCTATGTTTTATAGGAATAGATATATCTAGCATATTGAATAGATATATTTTCCACCACACCAAAGAAGATGTGAGTAAGTATTTGAAGAGGCGGGAAGACTCTGATTTTGTTAAAATATTAAGTATTATTTGTTGTTTCAAATGTTAAATTTCAGTTTTCTTTATATATTTTTGTCTATTAATGTACTTATTTGTTTTCTGTTTCGTATATATTGTTTATCTATGTAATCTGTTTTGGCTTTCTGTATTGTCTTAGTATTTTGTTTTATAATATGTATGTTAGCTGTAAGATTACTTATAATTAAATAAATAGATATATCGTTAATGTAAATATATATTTACCCTCACAACAGCAGGATTATTATCGCAAAGATGCAACAAAAAAGCAGGGTAATGAGCTAACTCCTTGCTCTATTATACCATCCGAGTTGACCCTTTCCGCAATAATCCCAAACAGACGGATAGAGTTCTCTCTTAACTGGCTGCAATCCGTGTTCATAAAAGGCCGGATTTTCTGAGAAATTGCAGATAATTCTCTGTCGAACTCTTTGTCTATTTTATCTGTTTCTGTCAGTAGACGACTCAGGCCTTGTATTGCGGCCAAGGGAATGTTGTCCACCGGGGATCTGAAAAGTTTTCGGAATAAAAAGGTAGTCAAGCCGATTTTTTTAAATGTGCTTACAATTATATATTATATATTTTTTCATACACCTAATAAAATTAGTATTAACAAAAAAACGTTTTAAAATGTACGAAATTGAATGAAAAATTAGCACCTACTGGAATACAATTATTATTATATATTCTATATATTACGAATTAAAGTAATTTTTACATAGAAAGAATAAGTTTCTAGTCAGATACCAAACTGCAGGACTACTTTCTAAACCTAAAATAATTTCCCGACCAGCACTCTTTATAAAAGTGCTGAAGTATATTGTATAATTTTAATTCAACATTACAAACATTGTGTTCATTTTATAATTAAATAAATAATATACGGTGCACAGTGTACAGTGACGGCTTCAATGAGTAGGACTTGATTCAAGTACTACCTTCATTAATATATGAAAACATAATATCAAAAAAATTACACTTATTTGGCTTACTGCTTCGGTTCAAACACAGTATTTTATTGAACAGATTTTTCTAAATAGTGGTATAAGATTGTGTACTTGTGGATTTTTGATTTATGAAAACTAATAACGAAGCTTACGGTAGTTTCTGCGCATCAACCCCCTGGCTTAATGCAGCCAAAGCAGCCGGCAACGCAGCAGCTCGTTGTTCCTTGTTTAACTGGCTGATGTTGGCAGCACCACGAAGACTAGCAGACCTCACACGAGGAGACTCATCCTTCCAACCACTACTCAGGTTTGCGAGAACTGCTTCTATTAGTACAACGTTTTCGTTGCAACTGGATTAGAAATAATTGGGTTGATCAAACTCCCTTAGATTAAAATACCTCGCCTCGGGTGAGTTGTCATACGTAAATAAATTTTTTTTCTCTATATGTCCAGATAATGCCTTTCACCTTCACTATATAAAGTTTCAACAAACCGCAAATAAATATTTGCGGTATAATTTATTTTATTCATTTACACTTTGTTACATTTATAGAAAAACAAATAATATAATAATGCATAAAAATTATTAAGGAAGCAACGAGCGGCCTTATCGCTAACAAGCTATCTCTTTCAGGCAACCCTAGTAAGGCAAAAAACTAATAAAAATATGAATTAATCTTAACCTGATAAACCTTAATCTAAAATAATACAAAAAAAAAATAATAAAATAAACTAATAACTAAAAAGCTAATCTCACGGATTCATTAATAGCGATGCAATACAAAAGAATAAGAAATACAAGAATTATAAAAGTCACTATTGAGCAGGATAGGATATGGTTAAGAAAAGTTTATGTCGAAGAGTTTTAAAAGATATTAGGGAAGTTGCCAATCATATGGAGTCGGGCAGCCTATTCCACAACTTAATGGCGGAGATCCTAAACGATTTGCCTATAACACTGATATTACAGTAGAGACGTAGAAGATATACACACTATTAGTGAATTTCTGTTGCTATTCTTGGAAATAGGAACTTCACCATAATTTATAGTTTATATTGCAACATTTCAATAGAAGTGACTATAGTATCAAATCGACTTGTTTGACTGTCCTTCAATAACCATAACTCTTGGAAAACGGTCTAAACGTCGTGTGTAAATAACTAAAAAATCAAAAGTTTTATTTAACCTTAATTCCGAAAACGTAACATAAATTAAAATATTTATGTAAATAAAATTGTTTATGCATTAATGTTGGCATAGAGACAAAATAAATATGAATAGCGATTGTTCAGGCAGAACAAAGAACACTGGTTTTGTTACAATTTAGCAGGGTTTATTCAGTTAATTATTAGAAAAGCACATGACAGTTCTATGGCGCGCGAGCAAGTGCAAAATTACAAAGTGACATTAGGATGGGGCCGATCGCGACCCGAATCAACCCGAGTCTTACCGAGCGACGCATTTACGGAGATAGGCGTAAACAGAGATAATATTACTTCAAGAAAGTGAGTGTAAGTTTTCGGATCTTCTGTTCTTTTTTATCAGTCTTCAAATAGTTCACTAAGTTACCAATTAAAATTAATTTTAACTCACCGATAATTCAACAAATCGGCCATCAAAGCTAATACAGCACATCTTTGAGGTGGTAATGGGGATCTGCAGTATCCACCAAGTCTGGATACCAGTTTAGCTAGATGCGCCGGACACGAGCGGCTAATCGAACTACCTAATATTGGAGCCAGTTCAAGTATAGTGCTGGAACTATCTCCGTGTTCGATGCTAAGGCACAGAGAGCATGCCTCCTTTACCTGAAAAAAATTGTGTTTAATTAGATTCATGGAATAGAAAAATATGGGGATATGTGCAATGATAGATTTAATAAAAATTCATCGTAACGTTGAAGGTTCTTAAAGGTTCCTGCCCTGTTTTAATGATTCATAGATTCGTTATAGGCAGGTAGAACATCTATTTATATATGTTTTATTTGTCAATAAGCATTCTCTAAAATTTAAGACCCGTATTCTAGAATGTCAAGGTTTAAGATCTGTCAAACCATTTTTTTAGTTTGACATATTTGACAGTACTCAGGATGATATTGTGTCTTAAGGTACGAAACAGAATATGGACCTAGGTATCTTAACTTAATTCATATCTGTCAAAATCTTGTCTGAGCGCCGACACATGCCAATCTTCATAAAGAAAAGCTTGAAACTAGATTTGAATTTTATTAAGTTTCTATAATATGTGCGAAACATATTTCTCTCTGATTTTTAAAACATATTCACACCCTAGCATGTAAAAAAATATATTCAACAAAAGGGCACCTATTAAAACAGGTAATTACATCAATTCGAAACCAGCCATTAATCTTATCTGATATTCTAAAAAAATAATGATTAAAAATCTCACTTTATAACAATCAGCCCTCTCCAGGAACGAGTTGAAGGTGTTCACTGTTATTTTGGCAGGTGATAACTTGATGGCCTCTCTATTTGGTATGAATCCAAATCTCTCTTGACCCTTATTACTGGGTACGACATATGCGGGGGGCTCCGCTTCCACATAACACGCTAACGTTGTATAAAGTACAGCAAATAAATCCGAGAATTTGTTAATGCATATGGAACGCATTGATTCCTCTTGAAGCATTTCGCCTAGGGCGCTTATTAACTGAAATTGTAAAACTTTAATTGTATTTATAGTAGTAATAAAGCAAAGTTATTTATTTTACTTAGCATAATCGCATATATATGTTTTAGAACTCGTTCGGAGGCGTAAAACGTGCGTCCAACACGTCTTGGTACGACACAATACGTAGATTCGTAGTACGTGTTAGATAACATTACGTCCGTCTACAATCTAATACACTTTTTTTTTAATTCTTACAAAACTTGTCCAATTTTTTGACATTTTAAACTGCGAATTGGCGCAACTTCCAACTATAACGAAAATGTAATGTATTAAAACACATCTCAATTAAATAAGCATTTTACAGATATTTTTATGTTTTTTTTATAAATTCAACGTCTAAAGTCTAAAGAAACGCAACCCACAGTCCAACACAATTATAATATAAAATTGTAACCGTTTGTAATTATATTTGAATCTGTCATTCTTATAGATCAGACGTACTTTATAGTACTTACAGTCATAGGTTGTAAAGCAGCAATGTGATGTTCAGTAATATGGTACGGGTCCTCATACAGCTCAACAGATGTCATTAATCGCAGAAAATTATCTACTATTGACACAGACAGACCTTCGTCCCTAGCTAGATGGCGCCAGCAGCTTACCACACATCTGCAATAGCATTCGCGATCTTTGATTTACAAGCAATAGAAATTTATTTATTATTTATTTATTTATTTAATAACAGCACAATGGCCAAACTTAGACTAAAAACAATAAACAATACAATAAAATACAATTAAGATTTACAATACAGGGTAGCATTACCCTCTTATCCCCTCCAGGTACACTCTGAAAGCCCAGTATACCACCCCCATAAGCTTCCCAAACAGGTCGCTCTCCGGTGAAGAGTCGAGAAACCCATTAAGCAGTGAGAGTAGCCGGGGAATGGGCGCTTGTTGTCGCTGGACATTGCGAGCCGAACGCACAGCGAAAAGGTTATGTTTCCGGCAGCGGCAATATTTGTCCGGGACGTATAGCCTCATGATCTCTCCAAGCAAGTATGCGCTTTCCGTTTAATCCTAATTACACTCAAACCAAACCTGACCACCGAAAAATCCCTACGAAGCTCTAATGAATTATACCCTAACACCCCCATCAAGAACTTAGTAGGGTAGAGGTAAGGAAAGAAATTGTATCTTCTTTTATACAGATTTCTCAGGAACTTCTTTTGAACTCGTTCAATCATATCCCCATAATACCTTTCATAAGGGGACCATATGACGCAGCTGGTTTTGAGAATTGGCCTTACTAATGATGAATATAGCACCCTAGTGGCAGTGTCCGTCAGACCAGCCGAATTTCGCAGGACAAACCCTAATCTCCTAAAAGCAGCATCCGTAATCGTCCGAATATGCTCCGCAAATGAAAGATCGGGTACAAACAGGACACCCAAGTCGCGGACTCTGTCTACGCGCCTAATAACTTTCGATCCTATGCTATAGTCGCAGAGTATTTTATTCGGAGAGGCACTAAAGGTCATCACTTCACATTTGTCATAGTTGAATTGGAGTTTATTTAATTCACTCCAATGCAGCAGTTCATCCAAATCAAGTTGCATACACAGACGATCATTGTCAGTCTCAACTATTTTAAAGACCTTAACGTCGTCAGCAAATAGTTTAATACAGTGGTTTTTCTTAGCATTATGTATGAAACCATTGTAGTAGTTCTCACGACCTTCAAATTACAACATTTTCAACTAAGACCACAATATGTTACGCACGTTTATCTTTGAAAAGCTTTTATATATCCAATAATTATTTATTACAAAATAGTTCGAAATAGTACTTCAAATAACTATGCGGCATATGAATACAAGATACTTACGGGTTCAAGGGAATCCTTTGTGCCAAAAGAACAGCAGTCACGGCGTTCGAATGATGACGCATTAAAGACATGAGTGGACGCATCAGCCTCGCTCTGGCGTCGTCTGGGACATCTTCCATTTTAATTAACATCACTTCTACAATTCTTTCAATTGTTTGATATAAATCTTGACCTTTTTTCACAAAAAATGCATCCAAAATAGAGCTTATCCCAACGCTCCTTAACTCATGACCGTCGTAGCTTTCTAGCAGACTTTCAATAAATTGCATGGTGTGCAAATGCGGAATTTTTGGCGAAATTGTATCACATAACCTCATACAGTAATCGCTGATCATGTATAAATCATTAGTCAAAATATTATTCTGTAAATGGGCTAGATTAACCATACATTCATCGTCCGGTTCAATAGTGTGACCTTCATAAAGATCTTGAATCTGAATAATCAGTTTTACGCAGTCAACTGTCGTCAATCTCACGGGGAAATTAGTATCAGCGACTCCGGGCACTATAAGCCCTAACAGATATCCCATTTGGCCAAACTTGCTGGGCGTTTCATAGTTTAATTTCACGTTTTTGATATACGAATCAAAAACTACTTGAAGTATCAAGATGGCAGCTGTTCTAATTTCATCGTTTTCGTGACGAATCCATTCAATTAACAAACCTATTATATCATCAATAGTACTCAGACAGGTTGATTGAATAATTAATTCCTTTATAAGCTCATGAAGTAGTGTCAAGGAATCATTTAATGTTTTAGCTAACAAATCATTCTTATCGCCGTTTCCTTCTATTTCGTATTTTCTTTTGAAGGATGACAGTTCTCCGAATATGCTGTTGAATAAAACACGTAATATCGTATTTCTTTCTTCAGGTAAGATGCCCTTTTGTAACTTGGTAAGAGCTTTAGAGGCTTTTACGATTATTGGATACAGTTCAACGTTCCGTTTCTCAAGATTAGAATTATATATCTGTTCCAGAACCCCGTTGAGCAACTGCCATCGATTTCGCAATGCTACGTTATGATGTGACGCTGGATGCAACGCTTTACTTATCTCATAGAGTGTCGTTACGCTAGCATTGCAAAGATCAAAACTGGGATTCGATTTCAGGATTTCAAACAGTATCGAAGTGACGTTATCGCCCAATCTAGCTAAGACGTGAACATCTAAGCATTCTCTTGCAACTTTGCCGTAACATATTATAAGGGCATATTTAACAATCGCCAATTCTGCGTCATTTTTGGATGCTCTTGAAGAAAGAAAGTTCAGCAGTTTATTACTGCGTCTTGCTTCATTTTCTTTGTATAGTGCATCTAATTCATTAAGTATAAATTCACCATGTTGTCTTGATGATATTCCAATAGCCGTGCTGACATATTCCACGCTCTCGAATGGAATAGCTTTTAGAGCTAGAAGGATAATTTTTAACACATTCTCTACAGCTGCAGCGTTGGACATATGACACGACAACACAGATAAGTATTGCAAAGATACGCCTTTGATCATAGTCGACTGTTTCTTGGACATAATTTGTTGAGAAATTAGAGTAGATATTATCTCCACCCATTTGTTGTTGTTCACCTGTTCCACTGCCGATACCAATAAATCTAATAACATTCCGTGCCATTGTTCCTTGGATTCGTTCTTCTCAACGTATTTCAATAGCCTATCGATTTCAACCGTCCATGAATTTTTTAAGTTCTTGTGGATATCTCCAGAAAATTCTTCAAGGAATATCAAGAGGTTTTTGTTCCTTTCTCTTTCGTTTGGGTCAACTATGTGCATTAAACACCTCACAAATATAACATCAGCGGAAGCTTTTGCGACAATTACAGTCTCTGCTGGTTCGTCTCTAGATACATTTGAATTATTTTGTAACAAATACGTAAGACAGTGGCTGACTGTGGACATTGAAAGAGTAAAGTCTTCAAGTGTCAGAGAATTTAAAAGCAAATTAAGTAGTTGTGTTCTAACGCTTGTCACTGTATTGCACATTAGTATGAGGGAGTTTTTGCACGTATCACGTACATCCTGAGCTTCGGACTGCGACACATGAGATGGACCTTCGTAACCACAATGCTTTACGATAAATTCAACCATAGCAAAATCATCTGTAGCCATGATACAATTTCTATACGCTAACGCAACTATTGCTTTAACAAGTGTCTTCTTCATTTTAATCCCTTGTTCCATAACTATCATAACTTTTAAAATTGTTATGAATTTAGTAGCGAAACTGTCGATAAAAACTTGCGAACACGTCGTCAAGTGCGTGAGAATTACCACGGCTCTCATCCTTTCTTTCTCTTGTGTGTTTTTGCATAAATGTAGAAGCATTTCTATAGTTTGATCTGGATATTGAGTAGCCATGTGATCAAAACAGCGTAGAACCTCAAAATGATTTTTAACTGTCTGTGGTTGATCATAATCTGGTTCAAAGAGAACTAAACTAAACAAGACATGATTAATTGAATTGACAACGTTGTCATTTAGCGACAATTTTGGGTTAAGAGATGACGGCGAAAGTAAATATGAAATACATTGGCTGATACAAAAGAAGTTGATTGCCGGTTTACGATACAACGAGAGCAATGATAATACAAATTTGTTGACGGTTTCATTGAATTGTCTTTCTGAAATAAGTCTAGTTATGGGACCAAGGGCCTCGAGAACTGATTCTGATACTCTAGGCTCAGACGAGTTCAGCCATTGATTGTAGAGGACGTCGAATACAATCGAGAATTCGGTGACAAAATTTTCTTTGATTGATGTTATGTTGTCGTTTTCAACATTATCGCCTATTTGCTCAGCTACAGCAACGGCGAAATGTCCAAAAGCTGTAAGTAAAGTCAATACATTAGTATATTATTAGTATTTATATTTAAATGACCTAAATTATGACATTTGCCAAAGCTGAACATAGCAGAAGAAAATTGTGAGAAATCTGATACAAATATTAAAACTTTTAAATAATATAAGGTAACATAACACGTGATTTTTATATAAATTTCAAATCAAATCAAAATCAATTATTCATATAGGTAACACAATGTACACATATGAACGTCAAAAAAGAATTACTGTACGTATATATTACATGCTTTTAATTTTACATTTACCAGTTCGCAAATCAAGGGCCTAGAAAGAAAGAGAAGAACTGGCAAAAAACTCTTCGCCACTCTTTTTAATCGCCAAGTTTTTTGTTTTACACAATGTTTGTAAGGAGCTGCAACCATTACACTATGTTCCACATGACATTTTAAGTAATTAATAGTTAATTAATAACAATAAAATAAGTTAAAAACAAAGATTTGTCTGATGAAGCAGGAGGCATGGTGAAATAGGAGCAAGCACTTACATTCTCGTGGGAACACACGCAAATTGTTTTTTCTTATTCAACCATGAGTTGTTATCAACCTCTTAAATTCTGAGCAGTCATTATATATAATGTACATTACTAACTGTGCCCAGCGATTTCACTCGCGTTAACTAGGTCAAAGCATAATTTAATACAGCCTCACTCGAATTATGAAAAACATATTACGATTCTAACTCTTCTACAACCTATTCTCATACAGGCATGAGATAATTTTTAAATTAAATTTCATAACACTTGGTAAAGCATTTTTGGAGAATGGTTACTTAATTGATGTTTGTTGCCTATGTGATGATATGAGTATTTTTAAATATACACATAGACAATTCACAAAATACATATAATATTAAAAAGTCTTACCATAAGCAAAGGCCTGTTTATCCCCGTTTTGCCTCACGAGTGGCAGTAATGGAAGCATTTTGCCAAGAATCTCCTTTATATGCGGCACCATTGATTTTGTGTTAAGCATAGATAGTGTACCCATGGTATGAGCTATGGTATAGTGGGGCAATGTTGCTGGTGACAGCTCATTTATAAGAGAGCGAAGAACCTGAAATAGGCAAGCAATCACAAGGTCAGTTTAAGAAAACATCTTAAAAAATCTTAAATTCCATTAAATGCTCCTGAACACAAAAACTACAAAAGCAGATAAGTATGGCAACTATAAGAGCAATCAAGATTGGCATACTTGTTTACCAAAAATATTTGATATATTAAATATAAATAAGATTATATTGGCCTAAAATTGTAAGGTAAACTGTAGTGTATGGACTTTTGTGAATAAATAAATACTGTTGTTTTTTTATCTGTATCACACATTTTCAAAAATTTTGTTCGCTAGTTTGCTAACACTTACTATATAATATATATGGCATCAACTTGTGTCATTACAAGTTGCGGAGCACACGATATATTTCTCATATATAATATTATTTGATTTACCATTTGAAAATGAACTTTAACAATGTAAAATTATGATAGTGAAATGTTTATTTAGTAAGTGCATTTTATTCATAAAATATTCTGTGTCTTGTAGTATTTTTCAACTATTTTAAGATCTTATAATTATCAAGTGAAGTACTATTTCTAACGAATTTGAATTACCACTTTTTAATTCAATTGAATAGGAAACATTATTTGATTAATAATGAGCTGTAAGTGAATTAGTATAATCTTATTAACAAATATTGGTTCAGTAAGGATTAAGGCCATACCAGCATTTTGTTATTATAGTATGAAAATGTAAATGTATATTAAATTCTTTAAAACAATTACAATACCATATACTTAAAATGACTTTGTTAAACTTACTTTACTTTCAATGAAATTAGAAACTTGAATATATTAAATTAACTTAAATTATATGAGAGGATATGAATTAGATCGAATTATGCATATTACTACTAACAAATTATTGTAAAGTAAAATTTATGCATGCACAAAAATGTCAGCACTTGCATAACCCAAATAACAACTCTCGTGTTGTCTATGATATATAACCATTAAAGAAGTTTCATTTCAAACAATTCTCTTAATTGTTTCCTTATATCCATTGGTTTTTGTTTGTAAGGTTTTTTTACTATTATTGACTTAGAACGATTAAATAGCATAACATGATAAATGATGCAACACTTTTATGGCTTTTCATAGGAGCTCTTGGCCCAAGCCTGAATTTTTGAGATGTGCACCCCTACCCCTCTAGGCACGCATATTATGTTAACAAAATAGCCATTGATTAGTTATGATGAATATGTTGTTAAAACTGAGAATGAGGTAATAACATATTTGGGTATGGAAGCCATTTTCATTATAATAAAATAAAACTTACGAGGTCAAGGAACTCATGTCCTACAGCTACCAAAACAGCTGAAGCTCCCAATTGGACAGTAGGTTCATATGATGGATTTTCAGTCATTGCCCTGAGCATAGCATGGACCAATTCTGTTGCTATTCCAGGTTCTATCTTTTTTACTTGACTCACACATGTTCTTTCTAAAACTCTGGAAAGTTTATAGTAAGCAAGTTAGAATGATATAAGTTGAAATGAAATTATAACTTATTTTATGTTAAGTGTTCAAGTGAAGGATCATAAGTGTATATTGTGTTACCTACATAAATAAATGATATTTCATATGAGTCAAGTGGGTTGGATAAAATTCTATGTTATGCTGGGCTAAAAGGTATAAACTGTATTTTTTGTAACTTTAAACTCTTGTTGGTATTTGTTTATTCAGTGTTCAGTGGACTTTTCGCCAAAAATTGGTGGGTGTATCATAATTTAAGATATAGTTTGAAAACCCTGAATTCACACAATAACATTTTTTTCTCCTTATTAAAATTAATATCAATAATTAATGTACATGTATTTAAATACTAGTAGCAAGAAAACAAGTTTACATCACACATACTTAACGATATTTCCAGTCTGTGTGACATTAATTCGCCCTGCTTGTTTATAGAAGTCACATATAATTTCAATAACTTCATTAGGGTACTCGTTCGCGATTTTTGAGATTGATTTTATTATGCTGTTGTTTACCGAATTATCAGTGTCTCCTAGAGCTTTAACAAGATCCAAAATAGATTCTGAAAAAAAAATAAACATCGAAATTTGTAGGTTGATTAATAGGTAAAGTCGCATAAGCGATTTTATCGAAAATAAAAACCTTTAAGACACGCTGCAACCGTCACATCCATTTTTTTGATTACATGGAGAGAAATGCTGGTTTTAAAAAACTAATTGTATTTACATAAATTATTAATTATCTTGTAATCATGAAATAATAATAGACAAAAGTTTCAACTTGCACTTTGTCACAATTACAAGAATAACAACTAAACACCGATACATATAATGAAATTGTGATATTTCAAATTAGAATTGAGACAACTGACCAACAAGTTATGACAATTTACTTTTTATACCATATAGTGTAATAGTGGGTCTATGACTCCGATGACAACTGACATTTCACATTTTTTTTTTTTTTTTTTTTTAATTTATTTATTAGCCGGATAAACGTGACATTTCACATGAGCGATAAGTGTTACCCAATGTAAGCCCTAATTCACGAATGACAATTTTTAATTTTAACTGACTAAGATTAGAATGTACAGCTTCTGTAAATATCGCAGCAAATAAATACTTATGATAATCGTTCAAATCGTTTGTTTAAATGGAAAAATGTTATTGTTTATTTTTGCTTATTTTAAGGTGACGACAGTATCATTATTACATTTAGGTGAAAAAAAAAGGGTGCGTGTACTTACGTACGCGCGTAAGAAGTTATACTTCTTTGGCATTATTAAAAATAGATTTTGATTGCATGCAAATAATTGATTACAATTAAATAATCAAAGACTGGAAAAGGAGTCATTATAGTCAATTAAGTTCAGTTTACATTTGAAAAATTAAATAAATATGTAATTATTTATTATTATTCTCTTACATTAAGTGTAACATAAATTATATTTAGTTAAAATTATATATTATTATATATTTAGAACATCTCTACCAAACACTAAGAAGTATGTTGTTGCTTTGGCAGTATTGCACAATATAAAATTAATAAATTTCTTTGAAAAAATAATCAAAACTCCTTTATTTGTTTAAAAGGTAAATGACAAATGTCATTATGGTCATTCAAAATTCTTGGCATACGAACTTCACGCATATTCTATTTCTTTTTACTTGTAGATTGTCTTATTCCTATCTCGCTCGCGCACGCTATAATCACACTCCCAATTTTGTGTCACAGGTGCGCGCGCATCGTAAAATTTCACTCTCATAAATTTTTCATAACGCGCCTAAAGAAGTATAACTTCAAAAAAGGAGAAAAAACGATAAAAACTGTATTTTCTTTTAAAAACATATTTTTCTTCGCAGTGGATTTTTTTGTTCGTCTAATAATGTAGCCACAGCTATCTCAAATAAATAAATAAATTCTATTATAATTCGAATGTTGTTTTTGAATTATGTCCAATGCCGTAGCATCTACACGCGTTTACGTGTCACAGTGCGCGCGCATCGTAAAATTTCACTCTCATCAATTAAAACTTAACAAAATAACTTCATAAACTTCGCAGGGTTCTAAGCTACCAAAATCATAAAAAAATGGTACTTAATTGGTCTTTTTTTGGATAGGCTAAAACTCATTGAATCATTAAAAATGTTTTTTTTTTGACTTTTTAATTCTTATGGTAAATATACTTTATAATGTGATTTTAATACCCGTAAAAAAGTAGCTCGTGTAATTCTTATGGAGCGTCTAAACGGGCCATGTTTTGCTGCAATTGATGGCTGCACTGTTGGCCACTAATTGCCCGGCCATCACAAAAATATTTTAATGCAGCTGATGGCCGAACAATCTATGGCTGGGCAATGTGTTGCAATATGTCTGCAATAGTATGGCCCATGATGCAGACTCCTAAACGGGCTACACAAACCGGCAACAATGGCTGACGAAATCACACTTGTCGCAGCAGCTTATATTGTTTTCAAAAAGAAACAGAAAAAGAAGAGATTGTGCATTCGACCTTACTTAAATAGGCGTGAAACTGTAGACAATTTGAGTCTAGAAATAAGTCTTGATAATAAATTATTCAAGAACTAGAATGTCAAAAGTAGTCATTTTTACGTAGTAATCTAACGTCAAATACAGCTGATCGCAAAACACAGAATAAAGCAACAGGCACACTTCACTCAAAGCAAACGTCATGTCGCGTAGAAAAGGATACACTATGCCATAACAAAGAGAGTGACTGAAACAACAAGAGAACTGGCCGTGCAATATTGCAGTTGAATTCGATAGCCTAGCGATCGTCCGGCCACCTATCGGGGCAACATCGGCCATATGTGGCTATACAAAACATGTTTGGCTATATGGCCGGGACATTACTGCAATATTGCATAGTGTGGCTGCTATTGTTTGCAATGTTGCCGGCCACAGTGTTGCAGCCATCAATTGCAGCAAAACATGGCCCGTTTAGACGCGCCATTACACAAATTTTGACAAAATACACAAAAATCTTACCACTCAAACTTCAAAATGTTATTCGAAATGATTATTGCTAGTTGTGAAATTACCTGTTTTTTAAATAACAAATAAAAAACACAATTTACTGAAAAAATACTACTTATTATATTAAATTTTTAAAACTCCTTCCTCCAACTTGAATACATAACCGACAACGTTTGGGGATTTTTCAAAGAGCTTAGCCAAAAAATTTATTGACGTTACTAGTTGGACCATCCTGTATCCATATTTGGTTCTACAAGTATATTTTTGTAAAAAAATATTTATATCTTATTTATTACATTAACGAGTAACTAATGTTTTATATTCTTAAATGTTAATGTTGAATGCTATCGGGTTGGGGAGTGCGTTCGACTTAAATAAAACAAATCTCTGACAGTATAATTTTCAAAGTTGGCAACCCTTACTATTAAGTGCTAAATTTTTGACTTTCTTTTTGGCGGGAAAAGGAGAGCCGCGTTTTCAAATAAAATTTTGTTTTATTTTAAATTAAATTGTCTTTTTCAAGACAGAGTGCTTTTGGAGGAGAATAATGTCTTCAGAGAGTGATGGTGATGAAGACGGGTCTACAAAGTCACCCGTAGACTCGAAAAAGAGGCGATTTGATAACTCAGTAAAATCGAACGATGTCGATAAATATAAACCTTACTCTAAACCCGAGTATAAGCGATCCTACCCGGATAATAATAACATAGAAGAGTTTCCCGTTTACGTACAGGGAATTAAAATGGAAGATAAGATAGGTAATAAAAATCCTTTGCATTTATCAAAAATATTCAAAAACGTGAAGGGCATTAAGGAATGTCGTCGAGTTAATGCGGCCAAAATTATGCTGGTTTTCAAACAAGCTGCAGCTGCTAATGATTTTCTGAGTCACGTTAGCTTACGTGACAATAATATGAAAGCTTTTGTACCAGCCTCTTCGGTGGAGCGAGTGGGTAAAATTCGTTTTATCCCTAAAGAATGCAGTAACGCGGATTTATACCACAAACTAATGGCTGACTCTGAAATTGTTGGTGTTAGACGTTTCATGAAAAGAACTTGTGATGGTTTAGAACCCCTTACTACTATAAGCGTTACCTTTGTAGGAACTGTTCTCCCTCAGTATGTTTATTTAGACAACTGGCGTTACAAAGTTTTCACTTATATTCCTCCTCTCATGCAATGTTTTAAATGCATGAAATTTAGACACAGTGCCAAAGTATGTAGAAACAATCAGGTTTGTTCAAAGTGTTCAGGTGGTCATTCCTATAAGGAATGCTCAGCTGAATTTTTAAAGTGTGTTAACTGTGGAGGAGACCACTTGGCAGTATCCAGGTTTTGTCCTCAAAAAGCAGCTCAGATTAAAAAACATGAAAATAATTATTCATCTAAAATGTATTCAACTGTATTATTGTCAAGTGATTTTCCTCCGTTACCTAGTGATAAATCAGTTGTAAAGTTGGCTCACAATAAATTAGCTTCACCTACTGTCCAACCTAAGAAAAAAAAGTTATCACAAAATTCATCAGATAGTTCAATTCCAGTCCAGTCTGCTCCTCCTAATAGTGGTTCCTATGATCAGCTCATTAAAGATGATCAGTTCTTAAGTAAAATTATCAAAACTTTAGTTATGTTAGGCAATTCTAATACAGCAAACACAACTGCACACATTAAGGATATATTAATACAAAACTTAACAAAATAATGGATTATTTACGATTAATGCAACATAACATACAGAGTATCAATAATAAAAAACCACTTCTTAAATCTTTATTATATGATAATAAAATAGATGTGTGCTTGCTAAATGAAACTTGGTTAAAAGATTCTGGTCTGCCTTTTTATATACCTGGTTATATATTTGTTGGAAAAAATGCTAAAAATGAGCATGGAGGTGTAGGTATTTTAATAAAAAATGATATTAAATTTAAGGTCTTAAAAACTACTTTCTATCAAAATATTCAATTTATAGCTATTTCTATAATAACAGGATGTGGTCCTGTCTCAGTGCTCTGTGTCTACTGTCCACCAAATAATAGCTCAATTAGTTTGATTAATTTGAGAAAGATTATTTTGCAATTACCCAAGCCTTGTCTTGTATCTGGTGATTTTAATGCTCACAATATAGCTTTTGGTTGTGATACTACCAATTCAAGAGGTCGTGAATTATTTGATATATTTGATGATGCTGATTTATGTATTTTAAATTCTGGTGACCCTACTACTATTTCTAGACCTGGTAATAATGCATCAGCCATTGATGTTACTTGTGTTAGCCCTGATATTGCACCACTTTGTGAGTGGTATGTCGGTGATGACTCTTTAGGGAGCTATCATTTACCTACTTTTGTTAACATCATTACCTCAACTCAAAAATATACAGTACAAGAGTCTATACATAAGTATTTATATAATAAAACAAACTGGAATATGTACAATGATAAATCCAAAGATATATTTGATAAATTTTCTCCTTCAACAATTGATCCTTTAGTTCAATATGATGAATTTTCTAAATTATTACTTAGTTTAAAAGAAAACTGTGTTCCATTGTTAAAGCATAAATCTTCTAGTAAAAAGTCTGCTCCTCCAGCTCCTTGGTGGAATGATACTTGTGCCGAGGCTGTAACCAAATCAAGAGAAGCGTTAGCTAATTATAGACGTAATATGACAATGGACAATTATATAGAATATAAGAAAATAGATTCGAGGAAAAAAATTATTATAAAAATGGCTAAGAAAGACAGTTGGAAAAGTCTTTGTTCGTCTTTTAATAGATTCACTCCAGTATCCCGAGTGTGGAATTTTATTAGAAGATTTAAGAGAATTAACATTAATAGAAATGTGTCCAAAAATGATGAGTGGATAGCAAGTTTTTTAGAGAAGTTAGGGCAATCTAGTAATAACAACGATAATATTTCTGGTTTATTTGAATTTAATGATGGAAGTCAGTGGAGCAAGTTTCTACTTAACTCTTTTTGTTTTGAAGAACTTGACATGGCTTTGTCTTCAAGAAAGAATACAACTCCTGGTCTTGACGATATTCCTTATATTATGCTTCAAAATCTACATGTTTCTGTAAAACATATTCTACTTAATATTTTAAATTCGCTTTGGTCTCATCAATTGATTCCAGAATCCTGGAGGTTGCAATGTGTCATACCAGTGTTAAAACCTGACAAACCCAATGATCATTTTAATTCGTACAGACCCATTTCTCTTACATCTTGTGTAGGGAAATTGTTTGAGCAAATGATTAAGATTAGACTGGACTATTTTGTTGAAAACCAGAAACTTATTCCTTCTTGTCAGTTTGGATTCAGAAAAGGCAAAAGTGCAGCAGAAAGTTTTATAGCTTACCTGACTGATATGAAGAAGTGTTTGTTATCAGGTTCTACTGCAATTTGTGTTTTCCTTGATGTTCAGGGGGCATATGATAATGTAGATCTTCACCAATTAATTAAGGTGCTATATTCTTTGGGCTTCCCAGGAAAGCTTTTAAAATGGATTTTCCATATGTATTATGGTCGTTCTTTATACATTAAATACAATAATGTTTTTCATGGTCCAAAATTAGCATTCAAGGGGTTGATGCAAGGGTCTTCTTTATCTCCAATCCTGTATAACCTTTATACTTCACAAATATATACATATGTGACTGAATCTGTAAAAATATTACAATTTGCTGATGACATCTTAATATATAGTGTAGGCAGTAATTTACAGGTTACTCAAGCAAAAGTTAATTCAGCTTTATGTCAACTTAACTACTATTATACTGAGATACTTAAATTAAATATAAATAGTAGTAAAAGTTCAGTTTTAGCTTATGGTATTGATACTAATGTAAATGTTAAGTATAACAATAATTTAATCCCTCAAAATAGCGAAAAAAGTTTCTTGGTGTAATTTTTGACACTAAATTAAAGTTTACCAAACACATTGACTATATTTGTAGTAGAGCTTTGAAAGGTATCAATATTTTTTGCGGTCCTTAGCAGGAACTTTTTGGGGTTCTGATCCAAAAGTTCTTTGTTTATTATATAAAAGCTTAGTACGTAGTCATTTTGATTATAGTTGTCTGGCATATATGAATATTAGTCCTGTATTATTAAAAAAGCTTGATGTTATCCAAAATATTGCTCTTAGAATTGTTACTGGTGCAATGCGTACCACTCCTATCAATTCTATGGAGGTTGAGTCATGTGTAGAACCACTATGTATTCGGCGAGTATTAATTGCTGAAAAATTTTGCCTGAAAGTGATAACTTCTCAGAATGATGTTCTTCTTCCAAAACTTTCTTATTCTATAACTATCACCAATACACCAGATTTGCCTTCAAGTATAACAGCGACTAATGTTCTCAATAACCAGATCCCTGAATTATTGGGAATTATGAGCTTTATGACTGATTTATCTGATAATATGTACAAATCTGAACTATGGCCTGTATATCTTTGTAAATATAAAGCTCTTATGTGTAAATTAAATATAGATATGTCCAGTGTAGTAGATAATATAGACTTTCTGGATTATTGCTGTACCAAGCCTAACAGTTACAAAGTCTACACTGATGGGTCTAAATCTTCATCTGCAGTGAAATCGGGTTACTATGATCCTCAGGCTAAAACCTCAAAATGTTTTATGTTAAGTAATACTTGCAGCATATTTACAGCTGAAGCTTATGCTATCTATCAAGTTGTATTGTACTTACAAAGTTTACAAAATAACGATAACTACATGGAGTTCCTAATAATTTCAGATTCAAAAAGTGTGTTAATGGCTTTAGACAAATGTCATACTTATTATAGAAATAATTATTTATTGTATAAAATTAGAGAAGCATTGATATCTTTGGATACTCCAGTAACATTTAAATGGGTGCCCTCTCATAGGGGTATCAAGGGAAATGATATTGTAGATGGTATTGTCAATTCTAATTATGATGAGGATCATAGTATTACATGCAGAGTTCCTTTTACGGATTTTCTTTTCGACTTAAAACAAAGAAGTCGCAAGTTATGGGAAAGCTATTGGAAATTATCCTCACAGCATAAAGGTAGTTGGTATGCAGAGATCCAAAAGGAACTCCCATGTAAACCTTGGTATGATAAATACAAAGGAGCCAATGAACGTAAATTTATAACCATTATTAATCGTTTGAGGTTTGGCCACTGTCAGACTCCAAGCCATTTATTTCGTTTTAAAATTATAAATAATAACAGATGTACATACTGTGGAGGAAATGAGGCCGACTTATCCCACCTCATCTTGAGTTGCCCGACCTTTAAATTTCAACGATTAATACTAGTAACGGATATTATGAAGTTGATGGATTTTGATGAGAATAATCGGACTAAACTTGGAAATTCTTTAGCAAATAACCCGACAAGATCAGCTTTAGACTCATCAGTCACTGCAAATGGTAGTCATCAATGTCAACCATCACAAATAGAAATTCCCCGCCGTGTCCAAGATTTACTGAAATGTCCAGTTCTATTCAAAGCTATTTACTATTATATAAAAAACACAGTTGAGAAAAATTTAAAGCTCACCATTGTTTTATATTGATTGTATTTTATGTTAGTTAGTATAGTTATTTGTGTAAGATATTTTGTTATACCTTTTTTTAAAGTGCCAATGGACTTTGTATCCGGCTAATAAATAAATTAAAAAAAAAAAGTGCTAAATTTGATTTTTGGTCTTTTCAACTTTGATTAGCAAAATCAAATGAATATTCAATACACGGTGACGGTTGCTGCTAGTACTAAACCTAACTATAAAAAACTGTATTCTTGTTAATCTCATACGATATACTCAAATAAAAAGTACCAAAATTATTTAGTTTCCACACGGATGCGATTTACGAATGGTATTGAGAATGAAAATCGTTGAATGACTTTCACCGGATACATCGATAATTTGATTATATGAAACAAAGGTAGCAAACTATTCCTTATTAAGTGTTTATTACTATGTATCTTCTATTCCTGTATACGTTAGTTAATAACATAACTGTGTGTTGTACTGTGTGGTTCGTTTAAGTGACAAAGTAATCGCGTCGGCTCCCACAGGCCACTCGACACTATTATCCCATCCGTGATTACGTTGCGCCGGGAGCAGCCAGCTCGGGTTAGTCGCCGCGGGGACTCCAAAGCGGTAAATACGGAGTCGCAAATTCTGCTCCAAATAATTTATCGTCACGATTTCGGTAAGTTTCATATACAATACCTTACATTGCTGACAGTAGACGGGCGTTGCTTGGAGTGACATTGACTATCGCGAGATCAGCTACCGTACGATCTTAAAATAGCTGTAATAGCGAGCCCCTCCTGGCAGCTAAGGTAATCAGCTGATCTGTACAACACTTTAATTATATCCAATTGGATAATTAATTCAGAATCGTAGTTGATCTAGCGCGATTCAAATCGTTTATTGTGAGCGCTGATAACTTATCTTCGCGATAGTGTCGTTTATAAAGTAATTTGCTATCCTGACACAGTTTTCAGTGATTATATAGAGATAATTGGTTTCAGATTTGAAGATGGTGCAGCAAGATTTAACTTAGGTCTACAGCCTATGGGGGGAATGGCTCACTGGAGCTCATTGGTGTGAGTTCTGAGTGAGATAGGTGACTGGGTTAGTGTAGTGTTGTGAAGTGTCTAGTCATTAGTGAGTGAGGCCCAGGCCGGAATGCCCTCCGTGATGTTGTCGGCAGTGCTTGAAGAGGAGGCTGATTTGTATGAAGCTTTTCCTCCTCATGTTGACCCATCAGGGATCACAATTTTAACTGATAGTCCTCCGGGTGAGTTAACCCATAATTCTAAATTACTTGTGAACAGTATTTGGATGTTACAATTAGTAATGTCAACAATGACAGAAATAAGATAATGAAATTAGCTGTGTAATTAATAATTTTTTCTCATGATTAAAGATTCATACACAGTGGTTTATCATCTTGTAAATATTGATGTAAGAGTTGTGATTCTACTGTTTATTTTATCTTATTCAGGGTAATTACGCTGATTATCTACAGCAGTTAAGCTTTTATTTGACTTACATAATTCTATCTTATTAAAAAAGATACCTAAGTGATTATGTCTATTAATAAGAAACATGCATTTCCCCAGGTATAACTATAAACTATAACTTTTTTTAAATGTAAAACTGTAATTAAATGAAACTAGTTTGTTACAAAAATCTTTATTTTATAGGGTTTCAATAAAACATATAGACATGGTGTAGACTGGTAATATTAAACCACACAATCAATCATTAGAAAGCACATGTCCGCTATTATTTGCAGATGTCTTGTAATCCATGCCGGTATGGCTCATAAAAATGTTTTATTGGTTTGTAAAAACCATAATTATTTATCAATCATATATAAACATGCCAAATTAAATTGTATAACATTATATATATGTTTTGTTATTATAATTAAAAACAGTAAATAAACTATGTACTTAAAAATTTTTATATTATAAACTTTGTATAAATATATATTTATTATAAACCAAACATAATGGATATTGCAGTTAAAATGATACAAATAACATTCATTATTCATTGTATAGGTTTGAACAAATATGATTATAGTCTCTTTGACAAGCCTCTCTTAATTTGTCAAACATGAATTCTATTGTTTACCTAGCATTATTTGAACAATAAATTTTGTGTTTTAGAGTTATTAATGATAATTAAATAACAGAAAATTTATAATGGCAGAAACCTTTTAAAAATAGAATGCTTACATTTAAATTAGCTTGTATTCAAAATGCCCAGTATTATGTTATAGTTATTTAATTAAATGTTTAACATATTGGTAAATCCTTTTCAAAAGTTTTTACAAAAACCTTCAGACTTGTTTTATCTAAGAAATATCATTAGTTAATTTACTCGCCGAATGTAGGTCATGGAGATAACACCTTCCTTTGCAAATTAGTTGTCTTATCATGACTATTATTGAAGCTGGAAAACATTATAGTGAAATACATGTCACTTTTTCTATCGGTCACATAATTGTTAATTTTCCTACTCTTTAAATGTCAGTAAAATGTTTTATTTACATATAGAATAAATTGAATCATCAATATATAAATATAAAGTAAAAATTCTTGATAGAGACAACTTGATAATAAGCTTTATCATAATTAATTAAAATCTTTTTATGATCATCGCTAAAAAAACAACAAAAAATCAGTTCCTTTTAATTATTGCATATATATATTTGTAGTAAATTAAGAAAATAGTTCTTTTTATGAGCAGTTGTTCTTAGATCTTAATATTTAATAATACTGACTGACCTAAGTGATAGACAATCTATGTTCCTATACAGTATGTGGTGAGTATAGAATCTGCATCATGGTTTTAAGTATATTATTCTATTATAGAATTAACCTGTCCCTTTAAGACTCGGCAAGACATTTTAGTCAATTCTAAAAAAATTACGAGAATATTAAAAATAAAATCCAGATGTTTCCGTTCACGTCACTATAGTTACTAAGTTACCCTAAAACTATAGCTTCTGTGAATTTTGTATGAATGAGGAATTGTTGTGAAACAACGATACGTAATTCACGTTCAATTGTTTATACTTCACAGTATGCCATAACCTAGCCAAGATTTCAATTGATTCATAAGCGATAACGCTGCGTGCATATTATTGTGCATTAAATTTTCATTGATAACAATATTTTTACCAACGGTATATTGTAAGTCTGGAATATGACTAATATTATCAAATTACTTAATAAAAAAAATATTCAAGAAACACTACAAAAGTATAAAACATACATGTCCCGACTCGTATACCTCAATCATTCTACGTAATTTTAATTTTACGGAAATCCCTAAAAACTAATTATTTTTTAAAATTGTAGACTCCGGCGTAGCTTTTGCCGAACTGACCTGTCATACAAACTAATGCAGTTGCACTCTTTTAACTAAAGTACTCCTTGGTCTCGTTCTGTCATCTTGGTTTACGATGTGATGAAAAAAGACATGTAGTTAAAATGATGCAATTCGAATTACTCATGAATAGGGGTAAATATAATTCGTGGAAGACCTAAGTAGTAGGTACTCGGCGTTTTAGTAGCTAGTTCCTAGGCTTTTCAGATATATTTTGTATTTCACTGAGGTACAACGTATGCAGCTCTACAAGGCTCAAGTACGACCTCATATGGAATACTGCTCACATCTCTGGGCCGGTGTTCCCAAATACTAGATTCTTCCTTTTGACCAAATTCAGCGAAGGGCTTGTCGAATTGTCAATCTCCAATCTCTTACTGATTGGCTTGATTCTCTCTTTCTACGCAGAGACATTGCGTCTCTTTGCGTTTCTATAAAGTATACTACGGAGAGTGTTCGGAAGAATTGTTTGGGTTGATCCCTCCTGCCTCTTTTCAACACCGTACGAGCCGTACGAGCTCTAAATTTCACCAACATCATCTTGATGGTTGGAGGTCTTCCACAGTCCGTTTCACAAGGCATTTTCTTTTCCAAACTAGCGAACTGTGGAATTGACTCCCGGTGGGGGGTCTTCCCTCAGAGATACGACCTCCAAATGTTTAAAAATCGAGTGTACTCCTCCCTAAAAGGCCGGCAACGCACCCACGAAAAATGGGTGTCTATGGGCTGCGAAGACTGCCCTTTTTGGTCGTCCCGCAAGCTTGTTTGCTCCCCTATCATATAAAAAGTAATCTAAAAAAATGATGACATTTAGATAATTCTTCGATTAATGCTTTTAATTAATTTTTGCGGCTACGGAACGAATGACGTAGGTATGGGTAGGTGACTCGGAAAAGATTTTTCAAATCGCAGTATTTATAAATAGATAACGCTGTATAAGAATCTCTTGACATTGTTATCGATGAAGATGTGATTAAGGTTGTTTATTTTCTTATCAATGTAAAGGAAGTACACTGTTTCATGAGAACACTTTGTTGTCTAATACTTTGTTGAGAAGAATTTCAAGAGAAAATTTATATTGTCAGATCATTAAATCTTTCGGTCTTTAGTTATAAAAGTATTGTACGCCTCAGAATATTTATTGAATCTATTCTTATCAATCTCGTGTCACTTTGCAAAAAACTTGAAAACAATTTTTGTAATATTTAACGCTAACAGTACGTTTAAGAGTAAGACTTTCCGGAATTTATTAAATAATGTTTATCAATAATACCAATAAAAATACATAGTATGAAACGGTAATGTAGTCGTATATCCATTTATATAATATGAAGATATTATTAAATTATATGTAGCCAAGTCTAGTGGCCACTGGTTTGCCAAGCCGTAATTACCTTACGCGAAATTAATGGAAAGCTTCAAAATTAAGTGAGATTAACTTTCTCCAAATTGTATTAATCGTATGGCGGGTTGAATTGTAGATAGTTATGTAATTACCACAAAGTGTATTATTTAGTTAGTGTTATTACTTACACTTTCCTATATTAAATTTATTTAATTAAATTGAAAATTAATATCAAGTCTTATTCTCTATATTAATTCTCCAGCAGGCTTCGGACTTCTTTCGTCAATCGTACGAAGTTTACTTATTTAATTTAAATTTGAAAAATACTCGAGGCGATATTATTTTACAAAAAATTTATTCTAGTGGCGACGCAATATTAAACTTTTCCTCATTTTGGAAAACCTTGATATCCTTCTCGGAAGGAATTGAAAATTCATTGCTGGCTTTGAGTCATTCCGGGATGATTCAATTGTGAAGATTTATTACATTCAGAAAACGGTTACAGTGTTTTTGATTATTCGCTACATTGATAAGGCGATACGTGACTTTAAATGTAAGAGTTATATAATTGAGGGATATTTTGTAAGAAAGTGTTAACTTTTGTGATTGTTAACCGAAAACAACCAAATGAATTCGTATATTAAGCTACATTTAGGGGAAATAATTAAAAGAAATGTTTTTTCTGTTTCAAACTAGATTTTCCTTTTTTTTTTAGATACAAAACAGCTCACACCCCGTTTTAAATTTCTAAAATCTGTCGGATGTCAAATCAGCTACGATTCGTAAATAAGGAATATTTACCCAAGTCGTAAGGTTTAAGCATTGTTTCAATAAAATAAAAAGCCTTTACTAATAAAAATACGGTACTAATAACAACATCTCTCTGCGACGTAGGCTTCACCTTAATAGAAAGGAACAAAGAAGTAGAAACGAATGAGTTTCGATCCCTCCAACCTCATTCATTGAGGACCGCATTGTGCAAAATATATGCGCATAATTCTACCCTCTTTCCATCTGCGACAATAAACTGTAGAAGACTTATTTACTTGGCTTTATATTATGGCAATAATATTTTTTATTATAACTCCAGAATACCAACATCAGATTAATAGCATTAATATGGCAACATTACATACGCTAATTAAAATATTATAAATAGAATAAGAATAGAATAAATAGTTATCTATGAACGTCTAATTAACAAATTCGTGTTTATATCCTTTACAGTTTTATCTGAAAACCAAAGAGAATATGTATCGGTGTTTGTTTATAGTCAATTCGATAAAACGCGTTCGCAAACAAGGCCCTAGGAAGGTGGAAGTATTGACATTGATGCTGACCTATCGCAATCGTAAAAAGTGTAATTAGTAATGTAATTCCATTAATTGCCATTTCTTGTTACTGCACGTATATTTATTTTAATTACATGTACTTGTTGTACATGAATTCAATGAAAACGAAGAAGAACAAAGTCTTTGTTATCACTAATAATATTGGGGACCGGTTTCACGATTCTGTCAATCAACATATATCTTAAAACCAATACCTAATGTTTTTTTATTATATATGTAAATTTTCAATCAATTCATTTTAATTTTAAATTCTAAAACTGACGTTTACACCAAGCATAGTTACAGATTGACTGCGCTGTTGAAATTAATTGAATGACGAAATCAGTGCCGCGACTCTGCCGGATATATAACTATTGGCAAAATTACTCATAGTGTCCTCCTCCATAATGTTTAACAGATAGGTTTTGGTTTTTTTAAAAGCCTGTGTCATTTTTTTTAGGTATTCGGCCTTGACTAATTCGGTCGCTGGTAACCCGATATCTTGGGGTTGGTTTTAGACCATTATTAATATGGCACATACATACAGAAACACCGACTCCCATCTAGAGGCGCCTATGTTTTCAGTTTCTCTAGAAAAGAACATTCTTCTGACATGACTAAGAAACAAAACTATTTTAAATTATAATGCATTAGCGACATCTGCATTTAGCTTGCAAGTAAATGTTGTTTACATTGTGATTTAATTAATTGCATCACGATTTCTGATTACCTCGGTAGATGTCATTGTTTGCAAACGGAATTAAATTATTACATATTCTATATTAGAACTATTCATTGATTTCGTATCTACAGTATTTTTGTTACAAGCTTGTTCTATCTAAGTAAAATATTTTTATGTTATAATGTTTCACTTTTACTTTAAATTATACCTATAATGCTTCCCAACGCAAGCCTTAAATGCTCAAAACTTCCGATTTTCTTTCCAATTTTTACTCATTTAAAAATTACACAATTACATGGTAGCTAATCAGACAGACGCTGTGTTGTGGGTGACCTGATACTTTTCCGTGGTTCTTATATACCTGGAACAATATATATGTACATAAAGCTTGTACAGGGAAGAGAAACATGGGAAAACTGGCTTGTCATATTCAAAATTCGACGTGTCAGAAAGCGACCTACTTAACAAGAAACTACTACATACAACTACAAAGAAAAGGAAGAAAACAGACGCTGCCATATGAATATACGAAGAGACCCTACAACCTTCATGTTTGATCTTTTGTAATAGGAAAATACATTTTCTACCATTCCACACCGCCGACGCTCTCCTTATTTTATCGCTTAATCCTATCCCATTCATACGGCATAAGGCTCTCATTTTACAACACTATAAATTATTTGCAAGTCAAATTTACGAAGGAAAATAACGTATTATTCATAATCCACCAATAAAATATCCTTAATTTGGTAAAATAAATAAACCATGAAGCAACTTTAATGCTTTGTCCGATTTAAGTTTGATGGCAATTTTAATAATTTCATTGATTTATGGATTAGTAAATATAGTATGATTTTACATAAAGAAGCACCGCACCTATTGATATTAAATCAATATTATTTTTTTAGATTAGCTCAAACGTAAATAAATACACATATATAATTTTGAACCTGATTTAAAAGCGTGAATTCTTTAAATAAAAACCGTTTCAAGAATCCCACTCAGAGTCATTCGTTAATTGCTTTCTTAAATTAGCATTATTGGCCATTTAATTTTGTAGTGGAATTGCACAATTCTGTAAAATATTTTAGGATAAAATAGTCATAGCGATTTAGACGACTTAGTAAGACCCGTAATAGTCTATGAAAAGGGCATTTTTTAAATCGGGGCACGTTTTGTTATTGAATATCTATAAAAAATATTCGGCAGTACTAATCAGTACACCAACGAACGACAAAACGGTCAGTTACTTATTTCTAAGTAATAAAATATCAGTGTTGTACAATGTGACGCAAATCGACTTATGACTGATAATATCTTATGAGTCATAAATGATAATATGTCTTGTTACACGGATGATTTATAGTTAAAAATAATGTAGATCAATTAGCAGTATTTTTGACGATATCGTTGTTTATATATGGTCGAATTGTCAAAGGGTCAAAAGCCAAACAATTAAATTGGGAAACTGTTATCTCTAACAAACAATGGGCAGCGGGTGAATAGAAATTTGTAACGCTAAATATTAATTACCTTCAAACGCACACAGAACTACCCTCTTTTTCGATATTGTTTCCTACCTAACATTTTCTAGATTCGCATTCAAAGTAACGTATAGAAAATGTTGAGTGGTGTTAAACATACACACATAGTTTGCTTTGTTTATAGTCTTACTGTGTTTATAAAAATAATTTTATGTAATTTCTTGTAATAATAATTTTCAATAATGTACACGATGACCAACTAAGGCAGTAGTCGGTGCGGTAAGAGAACTTGGCAGTGCGATCTAATATAATTCTTACGCAACGCGTCATTTATTCACATAACATATATACTTTAAAAAATTATATGTAACATCAAAATGATTACTATCGAACTATGATAACGTGAACAGTGTTGTCGGCATAAAAAAAAGATAAAATAGCACTGCAGCGACAACAAATATCACGGCGGTCCTCTATTCGTACAGACTATCACAATTATAAACTGATTGTTGGAGTGTTGTTATTTTCTTATGAAACGGCGTCTAAGGAGAGATAAAATAGTGAAATTTAGGGGGGAGCAATAATTATTTTCTTACTTATCAAGAATTATTATTTATGATTAAAATATTTTTTTATAAATGAAAGGAATTTTATCAACACTTGATCTATATCAGTGGTTGATTTATTATGTATTTAATCTGATGAGTTCGGTATTTAACTTTATACGCTTAATCCAATTGATATTAATGACGAATGAATGATATGATCACGTTGATTAAAAAAAACTTAAAGTTTTATTTAATCTTACTTATTATAAAACTTCTTAATGTTTATTCATTTTTATTTTACTTGTGCCAGCCTTAGATAAAGTAAAGATACTTTTTAATCTAGCCAGCACCCAAGGCCGAATAAGCAGTGTTGACATCTATAAAAACTATAGACACTAATTGTAGCTATTCAGTAAAGTTTAACTATAACTTTCGAAAATTTAAATCGTTATTAACGTATTTAATAAAAAAAGAATCCATTTGGTCTTATGTTATATATGTATTTCTTTGGTATTCCATGAAAATTATCGATAAAATAAAGAGTAAAAAAAATAAGTTTCGATTATAAAAAAAATCCTAAATAGTGAGTTTAAAATAGTTTAAAGTTGCTGTTTTGTCCAAACAAACGGTTTAAATTAAACTTGAACACTAATCGGTGCGGCGTTGATAACCTCACCTTATCAGTTGTGGTAAGATTTAACTGTGCATTGCGGTGTGTGGTCTAAGATACCAATATAATTTTTTAATTTCATTCGCATTATAAACTAAATATTTTAAATAAACTATATTTTAATACTGCGCGTTATTACCATCAATTAGATATAATAATAATTATTCATATGTAAGAATATGGTACCAAAATAATAAATACTACAATCGGATTTACTTCGTGTATTCTACCTTATACAATGGAGTGAGTCTTACATATTTGGTAGAATTTTGAATTACCTATTACGTTATGAAAAGAGTGGGGGGGGTACACTTGGGACTCGTTCCGTTCGTTTTTAGGCGTAATACGTCATTTATGCATTATTATTGTTACTTGTTATAATGTAGTAAATCAATAAAAAATTCTATAATCTAAATACCATTTTTAACTATATTACACAACTGAGAATTACAAAATTTTTACTCATAAATTCTACTTTGTGGCTAATTCTTGGCATTTGGAATTTTCCACTTCCATTGCCGTTTGGAATAAGGAAATCATTTTCTAAAGAAGTCATGATTCAAATATGTAAATCATAATAAATGATTGCATTTAAAGTATTTCTGGATGCACACATACCTGGTGATCAATACGCTTTATGTAGGGTTGCATAAATCATTCGACATTATTGTTTCTCGAATGCAAATACTTGAAATCATTCTTAGTACGGTGTTTGTTCGCTTGGCGAATGTCCAACACTGAATGCGTTTGTGCAATAATTCATTGCCTATTTTTGTGTTATGTACTTTTAACATTGTTTTTTTAGATGTGGTGAGTTGTTGATTGTGAAGTCATAATTTGATTTGGACATAAAGACAAGCTGTTATTAACAAAAAATTATAGCTCTAATTAAATTTGTTTGAGTTAATATTACCAGTTGTATTCAATAATTACATTCACTTTGCTTTTGTATAAATAAACTTACTTAAGTCTTAACATTTTAGGTACCTATTCTGTAGTCACAAAATATTTTTGTCATGTATAAGGGCCTTATCGACCAAGAAAGCATTCAGTCGGTTAAATAAACAATCGAAGTGTGACAGTGTTTGCCGCTATCGCATTTTCCGGAGGCTGGGCGAGCTTGCGTCCGCCGGCGGCAGTGCCGCATGCGCGCGCGCACCGAAAGCATGTGCTGCGCGTCTCCATTGCGATGTACATAGAACCCGCCGCGTTTCGAGCGCCAAGCGCTGAGAGCCTCGCTCCCAATGATTCCAATACTGTCTGGACGCAGTGCTTACCTTCACCCTTATTCGCAGGCAAGAAAGCACCCCTCAAGACATACGAAGAGATCCAACCGCTCATCCAACAGAGCCGCAAACGAGACCTCAAGCTCATCATTAGAGAGAACTCCTGGCCCATCAACAGCCCTATCCGGGCCTCACTCTGGCCAGCCCTCTGCCGACAACATCAACATGGAAAATCCATGCTCGACGGCTTCTATTGGGATATGGTTACGCAGGTCAGTGCTCTATAGTTATGCAATGCATTTAAGGTTCGCAACTATCGCTCCCTTTTTAAACTATGTGGATCCTTATCGCCAAATCTCGCACGTAATTATCCTCAAGGTTATATCTATTTACTTATCGCCGAATGTTTGTGAGATTTTGTTGCCCCCAGATAAGATGACGCGTCAAGGTCGAAGAACGTTTTCATTCAAACGCTCTTGTTTTAACAAGGCCCGTGTGAAATGCTAGTTTGATCTATATTTCCCTAGGTTTAGAGACTAAAATCGGTTGTCCGAAAAGTTTACGGTCATTGCGTTAACAAGTACATGACCGAGAGCTTAATTATTAAAAGCCTTAAATGGCTAGCGAAAGATGACGAGTGGAGGCTTTTACGAAATTTACAAAGAGCTAAATTGAGGTTAGCTTATCAACAAACAATTTTATCATCTATTTTTATCTTTATTGTGAAGACTGCTTTCGTACATTACTGATTATATTCAATGTACCTACATGAGAACCGACTATTATTGCACATCGGGCCTCTTTCACCGCTATCAACCTTGCGAATAAATTATTATGCAACCTTAAACCAACCCAATGGCTGTCAACACGTGCTCCCATTCACTAACGCTTATGGATATAGAACACGTAATAACTTGCTTTGTACAAATCAATGTTATCCGACAACAGAAAGTATACAGATTTGCGTATAGAGGAACTATTACGAAAATGTGTTAAATGAATAAGCCTTAATGAAACACGTAAACTAATTGGACTTTATATTCCGAAAAAATTTCGTCAAGTACGATTTAATCGACCATTAATTAACCCTACCGACCTAAAATATTAGATTACAGTTATACGCATTTTATGATAATATTTTACGAAAAATTTTGATACTGTTTTGTACTTTTTCAATCATTTACTCCGTTAAAAACCCAAACTTGCTACACAAGTCCTTGCGTTCGACATCAACGCGTATGCGTTCAGCATCGTATGCTGCATCACAATTAGCCTCTGGTAACAATAGCCGAACAATTGTATCGCAGGTGTTGATTTCATTGTTTTTTCTAACCAATGATTCTGTTGAGCCTAGTCATTGAAACTATTATTCTGCAACCAGCGCCTTTTTACTGATGTTGCGATAGTATGATAAAATTAATCAAATATAGATTCCAATTTTAAATTATTTCTTAGGTTTATTACAAAGTACTTAATTCGCCGTTTTAAGTAAATAATAAACCAAAAATCAAGCAAGTTGGTCCATTAGTGAATCACTTGTTGTTTCAGGACATGTAAAGTCAATTTGTCTTTATTTAAAATAAGTACCTAGTTAGATATTGTGGCAAGAACTAAATTTTTATCGTAGATAAATGTAACGTAGAAAAGCCCTTATAATTCGGCAATGTAACAATTTAGTTCCTTACTGCCTATTATGGCAAAACTTATGTTGGAACAAAAAACGAACATTCCAATATATGGTGTATTATAAAAACATCTATCAATTTATCAACAATCTTCCGTACATTTCGTAAAACTAGGCGTGTAACAAACAAGTAATTTACCAGTTAAGAGATGATTCATTCCCGAAATCAAGCTGTAATGTACACTGCTTTTCGGAAAATTTTCACTGGTTAAAATCGGCCTGTTTTTTGATGCTGAGCGCAGTGTTTATTATTTCGACGCACGCGGTTGGCATCGTGTCAACCTTTCGGCCTGTTCACCTTCGATAGTCCGTACATAAACATGTTACAGTTGTATGAACACTGCATTGCAGCTATTACATCAAACTAACCAACCATTACCATTGCTGTATTTCTACGAAGATGCCGCAGATAATACTATGCCAAACAGCAGATGTATTACTCGTTACAGTATTTTGCAGCTTCTTTGCGTGGATTTTTTTTTTAAATTCTTTGTTGTCATATATAAGTTAGACACCGATACTGCTTCTGACGGCGGAGCAGAATTGTACCGGCGGTGGCTTCGACATATACGAGTTTGTTTACAATAATCAATTACTTTAATGTCAATACTTAAAGCAGTTAAAATAAAGGCATAAATTAACAAAAAAAATATATCTATGAGGGCGTTAAGTAGGTAGTCAAATTATATTATTATAAAATTCAGAATTATGTTATTATTGTATGTATGTATACTTCGAATCCTACATTTAACAAACTTTTTGTTCAAATATTTATTTGCAAAATTCTCAAAGCATAATACGAGTTTATTTTAACAATTTAAATGAATGGGTCTTAAGAAATAATATTTGAAAACTAAACAACTCTTAATTATTTTAATGATGTTCAAGCGTTGAGTATGTTGACGTTAATTTATTATTTCTGTATATATAAAATGTTAAATAAATAATGTGTTTGCTAATTATGTATACACATTTTTGTATAACTCGTACATCTACGGAATACCATGTATTATATGGTTTACGTGTAGTTACGAGTACGGTAGTAGGCTGGATAGTATAAAAAAAAAAACAGTGGCGCTACAATCTTTTTAGGTCTGGATGTCAGATTTCTGTATCTGTTTCATGATTTTTTGTCAGGGTGATCAGCCTTCTGTGCCTGATACACGCCGTCGACTTTTTGGGTCTAAGGCAAGCCGGTTTCCTCACGATGTTTTCCTTCACAGTTCGAGCGAATGTTAAATGCGCACATAGAAAGTCCATTTGTGCACAGCCGGGGATCGAACCTACGACCTCAGGGATGAGAGTATCACACTGAAGCCACTTGGCCACCACTGCTCAACATATATAGTATATATGTGCATTTATATAAATTATTAGCTACCATTATAAGAAAGAAATAGCCTATGATAAAAATATTTCTTACGGTGCAGAAATCATTACTAATAATTAAAGAATGCACTTACATTCGTTACATCCGTTTTCCTCTGCTATGTAAATATTGTGGTGATTCAAATGGCCAGGACTCCGCCACGTGGCTGTGACAAGGTGAGCTCGCCAAGATTCCGGTTTTCTGAGAAACACCGGAATGCCGATCTTAAAATAACCATCGCCATTCTGGACCGGTGATTTCATCCAGTTCCTGTTGTTTTGCATTCAATTCCGAATACTTCCGTTTCATCTAAAGGACAAATGATTATTTGTCTTCTATTGTCTTGTGTGATTTTGTGGGGCTGATTTTATTAATCCTTAGGACTTTAGTCCAGTTTTGTCAACTTCCTCCTTCGGGTATATAGTTTATCAAGTCTGTTAATATGTATTCAGTTCATAAAAGGGAACATATTCATTGTAAGATTCTACTTATTTAAAGGAAATAAAACTTAATTATTATTAGTGTTGGACCAGCAGTGAAAAATATTTAAATGATCATAACAATTAAACCAATTAACCGGTTTCTTGATGTAAAAATTTCATTTGGGTAATTAATTTCAAAACAATAAAATGTTCAACAAATTTTTAAACATTTTTGACTTTTGTTTAAACTGCTTAGATTTGTATAGTGTCAAACATCGTTCGAAAGAATTCGTGTAATTTATCACATATTTTTAAAAATAAACTCTATCGCGATCGAAATTTTAAAGGTCTGCAACACACTGGCGAGTCCTCTGGCAATGTGAGTGTCATTGCCCGTTGCCCGTTAATATAATATAAAAAAATATATAGTTTCAGAATTTATTTTAATAAGGTCTATCAAATTGCGAATAAGGGCTCTATATTATTAAACTGTTAGATGATCGATCTTGTTGATCGCGTTATCTCGCTATGGCGGCATCTCAATGTCACTTGCATGAGTGGGCTCACATTGTCACTGGCATCTGGTGTAGTGCCAACGACTTGGACACCTTGACCTCGGGGTCCATCAAACGGGGCTAAACGTGAAAAGAGGAAATAGATGTATAACATTATGAATCTTTGACAAAATCACATTGTTACGTTATGTATTTTTATCTAATTAGTAGCTGCCACCGCGAACTTCATTTCTCCTTAATGCCTAGCCTACCTTTTTAGTACATACCAACATGAAACATTTTGCTATGCTTCCCCTGAGACTGTTCGGTTTTCCGGAATGTAAACTTTGTAGGTTTTTCTGTGATTTATCTCTATATAAACCTCAGTTCAAGTTATAGGTTCTTAACTAACAAATAAAAATAGGGGTTGATCGTAAAGGGTAGATGAACATTAAGGGTTATATGTATTTTTGTATCATAAAAAAATAAAAACAAAAAAAATAAAAAATAAATTGTAGGGTGGACATCCCTTATCACTTAGGGGTTTGAAAGATACATAGTAGCCGATTCTCAGACTTACTGAATATGCATAAAAAATTCATAAGAATCGGTAGAGCCGTTTCGGAACTAACATTGTGACACGAGAATTTTATATATTAGATTTTGTATATTTGTAGGTTATTTTAATGTCATGTATATAGTAGTGATCCGAATAGATAGAATCTACCAACCAATCAAGTTGGTTGCAGATATCACACTTACTCAGTCGGCTCTGTGACTCAAAATGTGTCTTGGCCTCCAAAACTAGAAACTTCCAGCGCTTCCTGTCCCTTGGCATTTCCCGTCAATTGCTGGCTTTTAGCTGCAGGTCCACCCAATGTCGATTCAGCTGGTCGCAACTATACTATAATTTTAGTGGTGTTTGTAAACTAGATAGAAGATTAAAAGGATATATAGATTTAGCACTCTTTTTAGACAAATAGCACATACCTTTACATTGATAATAATTAGTAGCTATCTAAAAAGTGATATAATTTAAAAAGTATAAGAACAAACCTATACGCACTATTACTATAGCTTACTAAATTTTACATTTTTCAAGTGTATGCATTACCCAATATTATATAAAAAAAACTTTGTAGGTTTAAATAAGTCTCTTGTACATAAATAAGAATAAAACATACCATTTTTGATTGCATTTTCTTGGCTTCTATCGTCATTTGAACAGTTTTGTTAATTCAATTTAAATGAATTATGTAAACACTGCTATGACGTAGATAATATTGCACTTTTAATTAAAAAATCAATGATATGCCCA